GTTGTGAAATGGGAGGTCAAGGCGAGAGGGGAATAGTGGAGTGGCATGGTGATGGGTTGACGCATTTTGGTCAATGTTTATAGGTGCGTGGATAGAAAAGCAAACTTACACAAGTTCCATTGAGTTACTGATGTCATTGCCGGGGCCTCCTGGAAGAACGCATTCTAAGGCAATTCGTACAATGCAATTCATTTGTTTTTTCCTCTGTTTTTGGGCCTTAAGTTCTAGAATGCTAGTTTTGTCGTTTCGCATGAATCCCTTGTGTGTTTGCAATTTCTTATTTCACTCTTTTATATTTTGTTGCCTTTGGAAGCAACCTATTACTGTATTTGTTATTTTGATGCCCAGTCCAAAACTGTTGCTGCTAATTTTGCAGATTTTTTCTCTCCAAGGTGCTTAGTTGCATTACTTCATTATGTCGTGCATAATCGTGTAAATGTTAGGCTTAATTACCCAGTAAACTCTTTGAGATTTTTGCCTACCTGACTAATCCACCTGGAAACATTTTACATCCGTTTTGTTCCACTTCTCCGGAAGCCATTTTAAACTGACTTCAGGAATATGCTGTAATTCACGGCTTTTAGTCCTTGTTGATTATTTGCGCATTAACAAAAAAAGAGGAAGAAGTGAATGTTTAAGGGCTTCTCGACTAAATTTTTCATGCCAACTCTTCACTAGGGATTCAACAAGAGTTTGGTGATACTACTGGCCTACTTTGCTATTAACCCCTGAAATAAGTAAAATTCTGTTTGAGAAATCGTAAACGATGCTGTTTTTTAGTAAACTCTTCAAGGTTTAGTCATATAAACAGCCTGTCCAGAGAGCCCATTGTAATGAATCCAGGAGATTGAGATCAGGTAATTTCTGGAGTGAGCTATCTCAAGTAGACAAATGCAAAACATCTTTCAAGCGATATCAGTGGCGATTTCTTCAACGGTGTCATTTTCCATATGTAAAATAAATCATCCTTTTTTCCGCGAAATTGTTTCAAATACATAAATTGCAAAAAAAATTTAACACAGGCACAACAAAAGTCAAGAATTTTTTAGCAATTAATTGGTGATATTCGTCAACTAACGAATAACGCACTGCCAAAGTCAAGAATGAGGTGTCCGACTATTGTTGTTTAACAGAGGTTTACTCTAGAGGATTCTGATTTTTAGACATTTTTAGACATCAGATGGCTTCATGGCACACCTTTGATTATTATGATCGGCCTTTTTCAGGAAGAACTCTTTTTTAATCTTTCGTTCACCAAAAAACAATCGTTGCTTTTTCTTTACCTTCGTAAGGCAGGTAACCGTCATTTTAGACGACATTTAAACATGCTTTAAAATTGCAACAAATATCGCCTGCCTTGAAATGGTAAGTTATATGCTTAAAGATACGCTTGAAGAGGATGATTAATTTCGCCCTTCGCAGTAAACCGAATCCACATTTATTCCGCGGTAATTATTACTATTCCACTGAAGTATATCAAGACAACTAATGCTGTTACCTTATACGTTTTCCAGGTGAAGACATTTCGCAGACTCTGACTTTTAAAATAAGTTTTAAAGCACCCGTTTTTGTCTATCTCTTAAAAATAGGCTAGATGCCAACTTTTCCATCACACCAAACAATTTTTTCCTGAGGTTCACACTTGCAACAAGAGGAGCCCTATTCACTCTTCACTTTGTTTCTCTTTCAAAATAAAGGATTTGTGCTTGATACATAGATAGCTTTCACAGCTGTACTATTGTTTTTCACAATAGTTGTAGTCTGTGCATTATAATTAAGTCTATCGTTTTTTTCAAGAGACCTAACCTCCGTTGTTAATTCTCCTCTAGTGGTGGGAAAGTAGTTTCTGAAAAAATGGGAAACTAAGGCAAGATTGTCGAGGCTAGAGGTATCGCGCTGTAGCTATTTTCAAGCACAAATGACTGTATTCGTTGACTTATCGATGCCTTCCTCGCCTCTTACTAGGAGGCATGGGCTTTGCAGCTAGCAAAATCACAGCAAGCCAGACCGGCCTTTCTGTCAGTGTGGATAGGGCAGTTTCTGTCCACGTGATAAATGTACGGAGCTCGGAAGGCCCAACCAAAGCAGTTTGTGTAATGGGTAGTTTTCAAGAGAGGAATGTGAAGACATTTTTTTATGTCGAGAGCCTCTACTGTGTGTGAATGCAGATGTTTCAAGAATGGCATTCATGAAACTACTTCTCAACATTTTATGGCTGAACCCTTAGATCTCGGAATGCCAACCGTCGCGTATGTTCGTTTTTCCCATCAATTCGTGTTAAGTTGATGATGAAACCATTGTTAGATTGTGTAGCTTTGCAGAAGAGGATGGGTGCAAACTATCGGAATAGGATGGCTTGTTTTAATACCATACTTGGAAAGTGGAGTTGCTAGTTCCTCGAGAATCCGCTTTTACACTGACGGAACATAAATCTGTTCATGTCTCTTGTGCTGCCAGTCGTCAATATGCTGTCACCTCTCCCCGCCCTCTGTACTCTCTGGATTTGACGAATCCCGGCCCTATCTTGGCATCACAAAACTACATATTTAATCGAATATATAGCTGAGATGTAAAAACAGAGGTAGCGGGAGTTAGGTTTTGAGGTAATGGAGACAAAACCTTGTGCAAAGACATATTTTAAAGCTTATGTCCCATTGAATATAGCATAAAACCTTTATGGTTTTTTGCTACTACTTTGTAAAACGCGCGATTTTGTCCAGATACCTTATTGTAGCGCCCCGAGACTTCCCTGAATACGAAGGAAGACATAATCCTACGACAGAATTAACATATTCGGTATACAGAAGGTATTAGGCCTACTGGCAAGCCCCGAAGGCCAGACACCACGCAAGGTACAATAGCCAACACATAGTGGCTCTTTACCAACACCGGCCGTTAAACAAACAGCCAACGTATTACATAGCCCCTCTCCTCTTTTCAGCGTTATCCTCGGCGCTCACCTTCCTCAAGCTCCCGCGTCAGCCATCACAACGTAGTCGGTGCTGTAAGGCAACACCCACGAGCCGGTCGTGCCACTCATCAAATTTCAACACAGCTGAGACACTCCACCGCAACGGCACTGATCCCTCTCGGTAATTACGCTGCATCTGAAATTTCGTCTGGTTTGGGAAGAGGCTTCAGGAATGGAGAATTTTGCTGTGGTCATACATAGACGTCGTAGGAACACTGGCCTGAAAGCAGATTTGTGTGAGGAAGGACAAGATTTAATACAGGTCCGTGGGGGAAGGGTTTCGCGTTCGTTCCTTCCTGCCACGTTGTTTGCACTTCGAAACTAATCAGTCATATCTATCAGGGTTCTCTACAGCTAATAGGGAAATGGAGGAGGTATCGTGAGTTCACTTTATCTACAGCCTTAAGCAGGTATGGTAGGGAAAGTCTGTAACAAAACTTTCAGATGGTTCACAGTTATTGTCGCTTCAGTTGATAATAGCTTTCCTGCAAAATACGGGACTGGGGTAGTTGCCGAAGGTAGATGTCATTTTCAGTCATTCTGTTTGGAGTTACCACCGATCCTTGCATCCGTAGTATATGCACTTCTTCCACCCCGCTAAGATTTATTACCCAGCAGTAGAGAACAGGATACGTGTCCAAATAGACTGGGTTTGCTTTGCGCTGTCACCAATGTGGCGCCCCGACACTTCCCTGAAGACGAGAGAAGACATAGTACTTGGGTAGAATATATACAATCGGAATATAAAAAGTATTAAAGCTTCTGGCATGGTCCGAAGGCCAGCCCACCCGACAAGGTACAGTGATCAAGTCAAAGTGACCCTTTATCAAAACTGACTGTTAAACGAACAATCAACGTATTACATCATGCTCTCAAATCCATATACCTCCCAATCCCTTCAGCAATAACTCAAAAATGTCTCCATAAAAGACCATCATTAAGATGATTTTAGAAGCAAATTTAGTTAGACAACCATATAGAGTTACTACTTAGTGCTTTCAAGATAGGCATCGACTAAATAAAAGTGGGACTATTAGGCTAATGAGCAAATCATTGAACTAGAAGCAGTGCCTTCGGTCCCCAGTGTTTAAAACCCAATTTGAGCTTTCAATATTTATACCCACTTCCGGTAAGCTATTTAAGTTAGTTCGCTATTCATAATAAGCATTAACTTACACTCAAGGCCTTATTTGCCAAGCAGACAATCATTTCCTCCTGCCGGCATTGTTTACCGTTAAACTTCCCCAACCCATCCAATTCCATCTTGTAGAGGCATTTATGTGAGATTTCATCAAATAGCCTTAACACTGTTGAGCCTTAGTGCAATTGCCGATTTGAGCCAAAGTTAAGTGTTAAGGTTTTACGATGGTGAACTTCATAATCACTGCTGTTGTACACAGAAATGCAATAATTAAACAAGACTTCCATAACACTAATGTCAACGAGATACTATTAAGTAGACTTGGGTTGATACGTCTTCGGACTGGAGGTGGTTCTAAACAGTATCTTATTTGTAGACATGCAGACATTTGCCACCAGTTTTGCACATATGTGTAATTTTGTTCCGTGCTAGATTATGACAACTGGTCGTGTCAGATGGTGCTATAAAGGGATTGGTTTCATTTAAAAAATAATAAAAATTAACGCGACAAATTTTAAATTTGAGAATAATTGTTGTTAAGAGTTTATTTGACAACAAACTAATAAGTCGTCTGGACTGTGGTGAGTGATTTTTCCCCTGAGATCCAGGTAACGAACGGGTAGGGAGATATGAATATAACATTCAGGGTTGATATGTCTCGCTACCAAATCGAGATTTGACTATCTACCAGGCACCTCCTGAAGTGTATTACACCTTTCACGAACCGCTTTTAGACGGAAGCTACACATGAAAAGCGGGATGCTCGGGCTAAGAATTAGGAGAAATTTTCTGATCGCAATATTGCGCACTTCTAAAGTTCCATTTAGGACGTCTTCCAATTCACACAATCGGTGTTGCAAGGCATCCACCCAGTCACACCCACACACACACACACGCATATTCGAAACACCAGACGTCCGCTACAATCTGTGCACACCTGTCTCATGCGTACACAGGTGTAGTTGAGGCCTCTACAGCACCGCCAATCGATAAACCGGCACACGCTGACGTGCATGTGCATGTGCAAGCGACCTTATCGCACCGCCAGTCGGCACGTGCCGTGTGTGCAAGCGCAGCTACCCAGGGTCAGTGGTCCCGATGATTGGACGGCTACGAAAGTAAGGCGAGCCACGTGGTTGGATAGTGACACATGGTACTGCGTTTGGCTGCTGTTGTTGTCGTTGCTGCTGCTGCTGCTGCTTCTTGCATACATCAACGCACGCACGCACGTGCGCCCGTGTGTGAGTGCGTGGCTGTAGGAAAGCATTACGCGCTCAAGCACCACCACCAGCTGCAGCAGCGGCAGGAGTCGTGGTACTCAGGCTAATGTGTATGAATCCGGACGACGTACGATGCTACATACACGCACAGACGCACGGTATGCGAATATCCGCGTTTCACATTTGTAGACGGACGACCTTCACAAACGCGCGAGTGCGTGGGTGTGTGTGCGTGTGTGAATGCGCACAAGCTGCGCGCATAGCGTGAGCGCGCAGCCGGCAACACGCGGCCTGAAGACAATAATAAAAACACGCTACCGGCTTTCTGAAGGGCAAGAGTGACCAATTTTGCACACGACCTCAGTGTTCTAGGCTTAATAGATATGCTCCTTAAACTTGTCGCTCTTTCAGCTATTTTACTTCTCCAAGATGCATATTTTCGGTTCTGGGGACGTGTACGTGAATGGGTGGATGGAATGGTAGTGTCGGCTAACGGGAACATGATGCTTCTCGCTTTTGGACATGCGCACATAGCTTGCCGGCTAGTCGGCTGGTTTGCGATGCCTGGGCAGCTGTACACATGGGAGAGACGTTTTCGAACCAATATTTAGTTGAGAGTCCTAGCGGTAATGTCACCAGTTTCATTGACCCCAATATAGGTTATTAAAAGCGAACTAAGGCAATATTAACAATCGGTTTCAGCCCATCTGTCTACTGCTCATGCGCCATATTATTTAGGTCAAGTAAGAATGGTCCCTTCTGGGTTATTTAACTGCCCTTAGCATCTGTGATACCCCGACCTCCAAATCATGCCACAGTGTGGTAATTTTTAAATCAAATACGGAATCCCACTTAAAATCTAAAAAGTTTTTTTTAATTAAATCAGAGATTAAGTATTGGTGCAAAATCTACTGTCCAATTCAAGTAAAAACAAAATGAGTTTATGTGCTCCTACTTAACAGGTATCCGATTCGTAGATGGTGGAGTGACAGTGATTTACAATGTCCGAATTCGGCAATTGTCATCATTGCAAACCTTGTCGTATCATGGTGAACCACTTTACGAATTTAGTCCCGAATTCTCACCGACCTTGATCACTAAATTGTAAAGACATGGATGTAATTAAATCTAGCGTCCCGGGACTCCCTGAAGACGAAAGAAGATACAATACTCGGACAGAATACATATATTCAGCACGGAGAAGGTGTCTGGGCTATTGGCATGGTCCAAAAGGCCAGCCCACCCAGCGACGTACACGGGGGCTAATTCAAAGTACAAAAGTGGCGCTTCACCAATGCCGAGGGCTAAACCACTTTCGTACTACAAAATGTCCCCTTGGGAACAATTTTCTTATTCTTTAGCTTAAACATTTAGTTCGGCCACTGTATCAGCTAAATCTAACCAGGACTGTTAACTACAGAGCAGCTTAACAAGAGGCAAGAACGATAGAAGTATCTAAGATTTTAACCGTGTCATATTTACCATACCATTATGAGATAAACTAAGTCGCCCGGACATGTGTGAACATCTTATGGATTTTAGTTTCCTTCCCTCAGTCATTCAATAGAATTTACATTCTCGGAGATCTTTAAGTGGGTAATTAGGGTTAGGAGACTGGTCGTTCCCAACATTCCAAGTTCAGGTCAGCTCCTTCTGCTTGCTAATTAATATTCTGTGAGGATAAAACTGCGAGTGAAGGTCCAGTTTAGAAATCGTCTATGTTGGCTTGAAATCTAGAGATGCAAAGTTAGGTAGGCAAATGATACAACACAAATGTGCTCAATCGGGGCAGGGAGTAGGTCAGTTAAGTTAAATAGAATTACCCATACGTGAATTTTGTACCAGAAAATTTCATTCTTCCACTTTTAATTACAAAATTGCCTATAAAATAAAATTCAGTCAAATGCAATCCTAAAGTCTGTGTGCTAGGCAAGTACTACTAAATGTGCTGGTCTATTTATGTGTGCGAGAGTTCGACCAAAATTTTATGGTTTAGCTGTAAGACCGGTAAAATATGTGATGATCTAAAATAAAAAGGGAGGAGTGGGGCTTTCCAGGGGGCGGTCGGGTAGACAGAGGAGGTGGAAGGCAGGCAAAGAGAATTGGTCGTTTATCTTTCCAGTACCACGAAATGCCCCTCCGAGGGTTAATGTCACGACAACACGCACGTCCAAAGCTTAGGCAGCCTACACGTCCGCACGCTCAGATGCACACAAGCTAGCAAACGCAACGCACGCACAGACCTGGTCGCTAGGGCAATAAAATCAGGTTCTTCGTGCGCGTGTGAACGAGGCGCCATCTGATTGGTTGGCGAATTTTGGCCAATCACTGTCTTGAAGCGGGTGCTACGGCCGCACGCTTTGGCCCTGCGGTTCGGTCAGCACCTATATGTGTGTTGTATGACTCATTTTATAAACGCGCGTCTAGGCAGCGCCTACATTCGCAGTGTTCACTTCTGTGTGAGACTGTACCTTAAGAGAGCAGCTGTTTAGGCGGATATTTCCGTAGCTCTCTCTACATTTTGCCTTTATGATGTCGTCAGTGGCCAATAACCACGGTCCTTTTGGTCAACAATCTCTCATTCCGCCTGAGAAGCCCTCGCCTTCAAGCGCTATTCCGATGACATTCTACAAGCGCGATTCTGGAGGTGCCACCAACCCTGATTGCTATCCCATGGATGCATCATCTATGCGTCCACGGCAACCTGGTTACACGGGCTGGTCCCCTCTTCCCAATATCAGCTCTCCTCAATGGACTGAGGTCTCCTGTGAATCCACCACGCCTCATGTTGGAAGCCTTCCAGCCGCACACAGTCTGCTGTCCCATCCTCCGAAAAGCAGTGTTCCTACCACCTCCACAACAGTGATGACGAACCAGAATGGGAAGACATTTACGGCACCTACCTCTACTGCGACTACTGTGGCAGCATATCCACGGTATGAGGAGCAGCATCAACACTTCTCTCCAACGTATCCTCTCAAACGAGGGTCCTCTTATAGTGGCCCCAGACCCACTTATCTGGACAACTCAGCAGCCAGTGCGATGCCACATATGGAATACGCGGACGGTCAAGGGGACCTCTACCATGCCAAATCAAACCCGGCTTTTCAGCCTCTTAGTTCGGACTTGCAGTACAATGCCTACAGGTATGGGAACACTCGAGACGAAAAGACACAGCTCTCTGTAAATGGACTAGCGGTGAGGGCGGCGAAGATGCCTGGACGGTTTCAGCCCTCTGATTCAATGGCCATTTCACCACCTGCTAGCCTTGCTTCGTCGGACGGGGAGACGACTGCCAGCTCTTCAGCCACCAGAGGGGCGAGCTCACTCCCATCGACGGGTACGGTCCCCACGACAACGACGGCAGTAGTTGCAGCGGCTTCGGTAGTATCGCAACCTAAACGACCCCGAAAACCGGCTCCAACACTGGCTACGGGACGTCGGAATCTCAAATCAGAACCGGTGAGCTTCTCCGCAATCACTGAGTCAAATTCGTGATGTTTTTCATAGATCGCTTTGATGCGTGCAGATGGCCAGTGACCCTAGTCGCCAATAATTTCTGATATTGATATAAGCAGGGAAGGGTTGGAATATTTGCCAACTCTTTGAACTGCAGTGCCGAACATAGGTGTAGTTGTAGATAGGCTTAACAACCATTTGATATCATGAAAATGTTCATTTTAATCGCCTTCGTTTTTATATTAGCGTGATTCCGTCTGCTTTGACTGACGAACTTTGAGTTGCTACCTGCAAGGTGTAATTCCAACCACACTACCAAGGCTAACTAGACGCATTTTAACGCTGAGGTTTTTGTCGTAATCGCTTCAACCTACGCTTATATTTGACAAAGCTGCGAGAAATTTTTGTTTGAAAACATTTGGTTGATAATGCTGCCTTTAGTTGAGCTTGAACTTAATGAACGGAGTTATAGCACAAATTTAGGCGTGTTCACTCTAATGTGTGATTATGAAAGTGTCCAAATAACAAACCAATGGTAATGCCATAACATGACCTCTGACATCTTATTCCGTAAGCAACAGACCCGTGAACATAAAATAACTCCTGTTTGCGCTTGTCTAATGCTCATATCGAATCTATTACAAACCATGATTACCATTCAGTGTGATGGCATTAAATATCACTCGACATTGATTGATGTATTGTTTAAGGCCAAAGAAATTTTCCAAATTTAATCGCATCATGTCCGAGAAAGTTGCCAGACTTAGTCACCGATAATTGATTTACTGCGACAAGTAGAATAATCAAGTTTTCAGTAGACTAGATCTAGAAAGGGTAAAAAAAGCAAAGTACGGCCACCCTTATTCCAATTTAGACGCCGAAATGGGATGACAAAAAGGCATAAATTTACCGGGTGCGAATGGAGGACTAGGGGCGTGCGTGCCTTTGGTGAGTTGAATGCACGCAATGCAAGTGACGCCGTTCCTTCAACGTCATTGGTCGTGATGGGGAAGTTAAGGGGAGGGATGAGGTAGACGGGATTGAACTAGGGCCACTACAGCCTAAGAAGGCTCTACTGGTGCTTCTACAGATGGTGATGGCAGTTGTGATGATGTGACTGTCAAGTCTTGTGGACACGGTGATAAAACGGGCCGAGGATATCAAAGAAGGTCCGACCCCTTGCTCTCCCACTTTCCCAACCTAACCTACCCTACCCTCCTCCCATCCACACCGATTTGATGACATCAATCCTCTTTGCTATGCGCCATTGCTGCAGGAGGCTGTATGTTGATGGTCGGAGCATAAAACCTCCCATGAGTAATTTGAATCATTAGACCCGGAGTCACTCCGTATCAGTGCTCTGTTTGTGCGTATGGATACCACATGCGGAACTCGGTGATTCGGTACAGTAAAAAGAGAATTCGCCGGTCCCATAAGCATCAACGCATTAACCTTGGAATTTGATTGCCCCCATCGTAAATAGAAAGTAAGACATAATCGTTATCACACGCGGATCTTGAGAAGGTGGGGGATCTCCCGGGCATTAATATTTTCATGGCTTCTAGTGCCCTGTGGATGAGATCCTTTTGGTCCAACGCTTGAGGTTGGTCGCGAAACGTACCGGTGTATAAATATTTTCTTTTTACCAGCGTTGATAATTCAGTTATATTGGAAATAGCCTCCAAGTTTATTTTCCTTGGTTAATCCAAAGGTTGACCCTGACGAAGCGGACAGAAGAATGAAACGACGAGAGAGGAACCGCAAATCTGCCCAAAAATGCCGTGAACGCAAGCTCCATCGGACGCAGGAATTGCAGGCCCAAGTGGAGAGTCTTAACATGGAGACCACTCGTTTGTTGCGTGAGGTGGAGGTGTGGCGCGACTACTGTCGCAAGTGCGTTGCCCTCCTGCACCAGCACTGTCCCGGTGTCTCAATCCCTGTGCTTAACTGTGTGGTGGAGAATCCGGAGAGCTACTTGCCACCGGCGCCTGCTAACAGTGTCACCGCAATGGATGCGGAACCGCTGTCCTTTTGTGATGTGGTGGAACAGCCTGATGTGAGCTTCTACAACAAGACACCAAGGAGCGAGGGGTATGGTGGATTAGGCAGTACCAATAATAACATCATCACCACCTCAGTAGCAGCAGCAGCAGCAGCTGTTTCCAATGCCGGGCCGTGGAATGGACGGGCTTTCACGCAAGTCACTCCCCAATTACCACCACTTTCTCAGTTCGTACCGATTCCATCACAAATGTCCACTGCTTCATCTTCCGGAACGTCTGTGCCGATGAAGTCGGAGCCGAGGACAGGTAATTTTTGGAAGGGGGATGAGACAATAGAACCCTTCCTTGCCGGGGTGAACCATGGGGGTAGGGACTCGGAATGGAAGACGGAAAACGACACGGACTCCTCGTCGGGCTGTGGAGTTCTACCCCGCTTGAACACCCCCAACACTAATGAAGCTGATAAGACGAGTACACTAAGCTCGTCATTGTAGATATAGAGCTGTGTATATGTCCATCTCTGTTTACATGTGTTGGAGTAGTGAAGATGGTGCATTTATTGTTGTGACGTAGTTGCGAGGGAGATCAATTACCAGCTTTGGATGTGCGTCGCTCTTTCGCCTTTCCCCAACGTATATGTATATGTAAATCTTTGTATGTTCGACCTCGTTTATCTCCTTTCTACGCACCAGTGAGCCCGGTTCCAAACTATCTCTCCCTCAATTATTACTAACTTTGTTTTACTACTTGTTCTTTTTACTTGTTTTTTTTTTTGGTTTCTTCCTATTCTGCACGCCTCTACTGGTCTTTACAGTCTCGTTTACACGCTAATGGGCATATCAAAGTATCTTTATCTATCTCTATCTATCCTCCAGTGCAATATGATGCTTTTTACAACTTTCCTGCAATTAAAAATTCCACTTTAATCACGGATAAGTACGAGCCAATGAATAATTCCAGTTGAATTCCACAGGCAGCCAGTAGTGGTTTGCTCACGCCTCTCCCGGTTCAACTTTATGCAGAACAACAATGCTCATTACTATGCCCTACAGCATTTCCCATGTTCCTACCAACCCTCCAACCAATGAATTTGCAGTTCCCACTAACAATTCGTCAATGCACTACAAGACGACGTTTTTCTACACTTTTCTACTTTGAATATCTGCCTGCTACTGGTGCTGCCGCTACTACTGCTGTCGCTGATGCCGATTAGGGAGGCAATGAAGCCGACTTGAGACAGTACTGACTTATTTATAAATGGACTCCTCCTTCTTTGGTTATTGTGTACTGTGAAAGCGAAAAAGTGAGAGAGAGGGAAAGACGAGTCGTTTGATGCGATAGGCGACTGCTCGAATTACTGCTACGTCCGATCTCATAGCCCGGCGTGTATGACGTCCTTCCCATTTCGCCTCTGCCTGCTCTTTTATTCCTCCCCCTCCTCCCCCCTAAAGTGCTGATGTAAATGGGTCATTGCCTGCGTAAGTGCCAAGAGTTTCCACTGGAAATGCACCTGTACAAATAAATTGTGGCGTAATTTAGAAAGTGACTCTTCTCCAGTTTGACTGATGCTTGAAGGTATGAAATTGAAGATGTACGCTCCGTAATGGCGACTGCAAACCATCAAATGAAAGACGAGATTAAGAAGAGTTGGACGAAATCAATGGTTCAAAGGGTACTTTGGGTGTCTGTCTCAGTTCGGCGGAAGATGCTTACAGATCTCTGCAGGATCCCCAAAATGTCCTCTAGGGAATCCGCTGATGTTGTTTCATTGCTCAATTATCCACAATTTACGAGAAGCCAGGTCGTGATTTGTCTGACGTTTTCACCCAAGTCAAAGTATGCGAACAAAACTATTTCAGAAACAAAGTTCAGTTTGTTAAAATTTGGAAGACTTCGACACTGGACAGGCTGGTGCTTTAACTTTGAATGGATTATTACAATTCATATTATTTCTCAAGTATTTGCATGGAATAAATTCCACTTCGAATTTATATAAGGACTGATTGGGGATTAATCCGACCCTCGATACGCTCTGTTAAGTTTAGCGAAATTTTCACCGGTAAGTTGACCACAATTGGAATCTGAAAGCTTAGGCCTAGGCAGGAAAAGACTCAACTAACAATGTCTATCTCAGTGGTTGAACAAAGTTTGAGTAGGCGGTGTTCATGGAAGTGAATATTCTCTCAACGTAAAATCCCGAGAGGTGGATGCGAAACCTGCCTACTGCTGGTGGGATAAGCCGGCCACATTGTCGAATCGATCAAACTCCCCAAAATCCTACGCATTCCAACCAAATAATGAATAAGATTACAGTTTTACAGAGTAAGGAAATTCTGAAGAAAGTGCAACCAACAAAAAGTAGTAAAATCTTGACGGAAAATATAGGGCCTGGCGGTAGAACGGCTCATCAAACTTATGGAAGCCGTGTTTGAATTTAAGAACGGATTCTAGAACGGTTTTGGCACAAACTTTGTGGTAGATAAGATCAACAAAAATTCACGACTTGGATAAGATCGTTCCGTAGGTTATGTTGATGGGTGGGTAACGAGGACCCACAAAGCCATAGAATAGTTCGGTGCTTCGAGTAAGTCGTGTAGCGCCCTGAGACTTTCCTGAAGACGAAAGACGACATAATACTTGGGCGGAATACACGTATTCCGCATACAGTAGGGCTTGGGGCTACTGGAATGGCCCGGATGCCAGCCCATCCACCGGAGGCACAGAGTGGTCCTTTACCAAAACCTAGAGTTAAACACACAACCAACGTTTTACATAGCCCCTCTCCACTTCTGGGCTCCGTCCACGGCGCTACCTTTGATCAACCTCCCGCGTTAGACACGACAGTGCCGAAAAAAAAGCATCCACGGGTCAACCGCGGTAATAAGTGGGTATCTATGCATCTGAGGAGGCACTTGACCACAACGTCAATGTCTTTTCTTGGAAATTCAACTGGAGTTAGAGTTTCGTCCTGTGTGGGAAATGAATTCGGGGACGGGGCAATGGGCTGGCTATCACGCGTGCCCATTACTAGATGTGGAAACACTGACCCAAAAGCAGATTTATGTAAGAGAGGGCGGGGTTGAACATAGTTTGCCGCTTGCCACTTTTTCTCTAACTTCAACGTTGCCCGATCATACCTCCCTGGTTCTACGTAGCTAGTAGAGAAGTGGAGGAGGTATTGCGTTTTTAATTATGTGATAGCTTCATACAGATACGATAAGCAGCTCCGTAGCAAAACTTTGCCGGAAGATTTATGGTTAGCCTCGCCGCCGCTGTTAATTGCTTTCTTGCAGAACACGTGACTGGGATAGCTGCCGAAGGCAGACCTCATTTTGAGTCCTGCTAGGTATCGTCAACGGATCTCCCAACAGTGCCACATCCACTTCATCCACTCCACTAAGGATTACTATTAGCAGTAGAAATTAGGATGAATAACCTTTAGGATCGGGTTTGATTTTCACTGGTACAAGTGTAGTGTCGCGAGACTTCTCTGAACACGAAAGAAGGCATAACACTCGGACAGAATATATATTCGATATACAGAAGGGATTAAGGCTACTAAGATAGCCCAGAAACCAGCCGTTCCGGTGAAGTAGCCCAATACTACTACCGAGAGTTAAACAACTAACGTATTGCCAACCGTGTGCCTGCGCACATTGAGCATTAGTTGTGCATAAAAATTGATGTAAACATAATAAAGCCTATAGAACAAAATAAACAACATGAAAATTGACAGTATATGCAAAATGTGAAACAACAGGCTAACATACAATTAAGGTAGAGCATTATCGAAAGGACTGTACTTCAAATAACAAAGAAAATCCGTAAAACTGTACCAAATACACTGCACATCGCCAACCTTGGAATAAATAATAAATTGCAAAACATCTACGTGTGTGACAAAATGATTTATTAGTGTTAAAGCTTTACTCGATCCCTCATTTACTTTTTTCGATTTGTTAATGTTACCACTATAAAATGCGGAAGCTTTGATATGTTGGTATTTTACTGAACCTCGGGCTCATCTTGCCCAACATTTGCAGTTATGGAGGTCCGGCGCAGGACTCCCTACACGTATGATCGGTTCGATGAAAAAGAATTTGTTCACCGCATTAAAAAAGTTGACACTTTTGAGAAGCTACCGCGAGAATGTGTTAATTGTACCAGTAGTGGGGGAGGAGGTACATCAAAAATATTTATTTTATTTCTAGCTTCCATAATTACCTTTGGGGTTATCTTTGTTCTTGTCCTTGCCGAGCTCTCCCAATTCGCAAGTCCTGATGTTAGCTTTCATTATTCTGTAGACAGTTCACTTGAAGGGTATGCAATTTTGTTAGACGTTAGGTTTTAGTGATCTCCCCATCAACATTGATATGGCTATCGCGATGAAGTGTTCTGGTGGGTATATTGCTTCGCATTTATTTTGATTCAGAGGTCTCAATGGATGTGCTCGACTTGGACGGAAATCTCATCAGTTCAAGTTCACAAGTGAAGGTTATAAATAGTAAATTTGAACTACCTTCTCAGCGGGGCAAAATGTTTAAGGTGTCACTGAAGTTGTACTCATTTTGATTTCCTATAGACACTACTAACTTTCCTTGTTTGTGTCAGTTAAAGCGAGAACAAACGAATAACCTCCGAGAGCAGTATCACTCGTTGCATCAATACTTTTGGCTCTCCCATACGGGCGGTGAAGAGTTTAATCTCAGCCCAATGCATCATTTTCGTGAGGATGAGGTCTCAGAAGTCGAGGCCGATGCGTGTCGATTTGTTGGCACGTTTAAAACCAGAAAATCTCCTGGGAATTTGCACATAACAACTGGAAAGTATGGTGCCTCTCTATTATATTGGTTCACTATTGCATCAGTCTATCTTTTTACATTTTTTTTTAAAATAGGGCGCTTGAACTGAATTCAAATGTTCATATTCATATTGCTCCATTGAACTCAAATGGTAGTAAGTTGGAGTTCTTAATCCCTTTCTTATCAATTACAATATCCCTGTTTAATGACTTTACACACTAGATTCGCTCTGAATCTAGCTCATTAGCCTAAGGGGCCTGAGTCTCCCATTCTTAGGTCGCGATTCTGTTCTTTTTCAATAGCGTCCAGTATAATCCGATCAGATCAGTGGAATTTACTTTTCAGCGAGGAACTTTTCGCACAGGATCCATCATCTGTCATTCGGTACGCCACTGGAAAGCTACACTCATCCACTTGATGCCGAAGAGGTCATTTCAGATGATCGTGAGTGAACCATTCTTAGATGTAAACTCGCTTTAGGTACATCAGCCAATTCAATTTTGTGCTTTATAGTGGGAGTAAATTTCAATGTACGCTTGCTAGTTGGTAGTTGAAATTACTAGGACTTCCTAACTCAGAATACGCTTAACTGTAAAATATGGTGCAGATGTGTAGTTAGAAGTGCTTGCGTTTGCACCTTCTTCGCTAATATAATTGGGGGGAATGGGTTTAGCACTGTTATTGGCAAAAAGTGTCTTTGAGTCTAGTTAATTTTCTGTCTTAAACTGCTGGCCCTCTGTCTATTTTAGCTGCTCTAATGTACCAATATTTCATTGAGGTGGTTCCTACCACCTTTAGAACGCGAATAGAGGAGATTGACACCTATCAGTACGCCGTCACTGAACAGGTATGCATTCCGTTCCAATGAAGTATTTTATGGAATAAGTCGAATCGTATGATTATATGACAGTAATAATATCGACTTTTGTTGGGTCGGTGGTTTTGTGCCATTGTGTGTTTCATTTGTAGAAAAAAATTGATATAGCCACTTCCGCTTCGATTTTTCAAACCTTGAATGGTGTGCTGTTTGAGGTAGATCGTTAGAAACATTTGCTCATGATAACTTTGTCAGTATTTAAGTTATCAGTTCGATTATACATGATGTGACAGCTTGGTGATAATGTTCATCGCTGAGCAATAATCTCTTACTTTGATCACGGTCACATTTCCTTTCAGTTTTGCTAATTTAGTTTTGACCTCTTTGATAATCCGAAGGATCGGATTTCTCTCCCACCACTGTGGTCAAAAATAATGGAAGTGGAACTACGTGAAACTTGCGTCCGCAACTCGACGGTATTTTCATTTTAGCGAGTTATAGCACATCTTTTGTGTGATAATTTATGGACAGCCAAGTTTGTGGGGAGATGGCTTTAGGTAGATTTTTGACTAAGCACGTCAGCAAACGCGAACTTATGAACATAGCTATATAGGACCACTTGGCATCCTTTCTCTCGGCAGTCGTCATTTTTTCTATCGGTTGTTTGTATTATCAGAACTAGAGCTATGTATTCAACCTTGACACTGTTACGGTACGCTATGACAAACTATGCCTACACTTATCAGAGCAGCAATCTGATCACTTTTTGACCAGTGACACTTTTGTCTTGTTCAGTACGCCATCTCTGATGCCCCAATTAGAAATGGTAAGCATAGGTTCCTCAGAGAAAATATACCAAATCACGGCGACTATCCCTAACATTCAGTAGCATCACTGTTTATCCATTGTCCATAGATTTTCATCACAGGAGTGTATCGCCCTCCCGATGCAATGACTGTCATCTCTTAATGCTTCGGAGCAAAGGAGCGAGTTTACTCTTCATGGAACCATTCTCAGCACTTTTTTCGACCTCTCATTATCACTATAGGCGCGTTCGATAAACCACAACAACCAGAGTCATGGTGTGCCGGGCGTCTTCTTCCGCTATGACGTCTTCCCAGTGCGCGTAGAAGTTGACGTTTCGGGTGGGAACAGTGCCTCGGTAGTGCGATTGCTGGTACGCCTCTCCGCCATAATAGGTGGTGTCTTTGCGACAGGGAGTCTTCTCTGCCTCCTCCTTCGTGCCAGCATCTCCTTCTGCCTCCTAGCGAGGGATCGTTTTGTGCCTGCCACTGTCACACCCGGGCTTTCCGCCTCTGCTCCTCTCATCCCTGATTCCGACGACTAAGAACCGGCCGTTCTGCAAATCATTGCAAGGTCGCGGGGTCTGGTAGTCACATCCCGCCCTACCCCACCTTAATTTGACATCCGAGTTTAATCTCTTTTACATTTGCTTACTCTATGCCACAAGTATTCCTCCTCATATTTAGCTCGTTATTGTTAATCTCCACTACCGAGTCTTTTATTGCGTTCGTCTGGTTATTTCGGGTTAGTCTACTTATTTCCATCTCGCAGTTTGACTTATTTGCGGTGCTCAATCTCTATTTTCTTGCACTTGGTCCGGATTTTGTGCTTACTCTGTCCCTTCTTGACGAAACTGACACCAAACTGCTGGTCTATTCTTGTTCCTATCTGATTCTACCTCCGCTGCATCCGTTTATTTTTTTTGTATCCTTAGAATTAAAACTAGAAAAACTGTTTTGAAGATAAACTCGGCCCTTAAATTGGAAGGGGATGTTGATCCTTGTGGTGGTGTGTAGAGATGTGTGATGTGCCCCGAGATCGGGTGCTTTAAAATCGAGTAAATCTACTTTGTGATAACAAAAGAAAAATATATGAAAAGGAATCCCATCATCAGTGATGAGTCTTATTTTTGAGAGTGTAGGTACGTATAAAAAGAAATAGGCAGAGGGATAACGTGATTGAGAGCCATCTAACCTTGGTTCGTATTATACTCCTTGAAAACTACTTTTTCGTGTCGTATGTTTGCAAAACTGCCGTCGGCTTTAAATGACAATATGCTACTGATATAGGTATAGCAGATAAACAAATTGCTCGCTACTTCATTCATTTAAGAATGCACCTCAGATTACGACTATAACTTTATATCCGGCGAAGGTGTCTCGGTTCAGAGGCGAAATGCTGGAAACAGCTGTAGTCGCCGTAGCACAGAGATGGTGATAGGAAACGGGATTCTAGTCGACCAACAATGTACTATGAAAAAGCAGACGAGTCTGTTGTTGAAAGCCGTACCGAAGTGGGGTCCTTCATTGTCTTCACTGATACAGCAAAACTTAGGCTATTTCATTCATTTCATGGGGAAAAAAGAAACTGCCATGAGTAGTAATTTCCAATGTAATAATGAGCAATTGTGCCAGAATACATACACCGTAAGGTTAAGGCCAATGCACGATGATAGTAGTGATACGGATAAGTGATGACCATTATGGTAAAAAGGCTGACTGAAGTTAGAAGTCCTCCCTGTAGCTGGTGTCGGAGTCCTGATGACTACACCGACTGCTGCGACGGTGCGACGACAGCTGCTGGTGCGGCTGAGACTGACGCATAGGAGCACGGTGTCGGGCCTGGTGCCGAGTTAGCTTGCTGTTCAGTCGTTGGGCCATCTGAGTGACGCAGCGAGCTGCAGCGTAGGCGCCGCTGCTGGCGGAGGAAAAGTCTTCTAGCTCCGCCTGAAAGGAATAGAGGGGATAAAAGGTAGAGCGTTTTCAACCATTCAGTTTCCACACGCGTGTATGCTATTCGCTTCCCTTAAGCAGTATCAAATCGGAGTCAAAATGTCCTTGTCTTGACTATGTCCGAGATCATTGACACTATTTCGAACACGTCTCCTGTTTGCGATCTAAAGTGCCCTTCAATAGCATCAAACCACATCAATAGAACATCACTGGGTGTGATTAAAATGGTTGAATAGTTTGGAAAATGAGGAGTAGTGGTGTTAAAAATGAAGAATGTCTGATTTACTCGAACATGAAGTTCAACTGTTAATATTGTTACAACTTTATTTTTTGTGCACAAACCCGGTAAAACTAAGCGCTGAAAGAGTTCCCAGTAAAATACACGATTAGCATTGACTGACAGATTTCTTTGATCATGATACCCCTCTTTTCAGTAAATTTTCATATTCACTAAGGCCAAAATAACTCCTCCTGAGTAACCATTCATGATTTTTCTATCCTACGCAAGGAAATCGAGTGGTATTCCTCAAATGGGATTCACAAGTAACTTCAAAGTGTGAAATTAGTCCGGTAGCACAGGCAACTAGAAATATCACCAATAATACTTGAGGGACTTGGGGTTCAAGAAGCTCCACTTTGGCAATTTACTCCTTGAAATTGACTGGGTGAAGGACCAGAACCGACGCCAAGGTAGAGGACAATAAACTAAATCAGACAGCTGCGGTATGATAGTAATCTGCAGTAACACAACAATGCACGTTACCACTTTAAAAATACCGTGAAGTTGCACACAAACTAGTAAGTTATAGAAATAATATCAAACCATATTCTTGATAAACGAGGCAGCCGTTTTGCAGGAATAATAACTCATGACCCTAATTAAACAACAGGAATAAACTTGGACCTTAAAGGTCTATTTTTAATCAACTGTATTCACTAGATCTTGCAGTACTAAATAGCTGCCAATAACAAGCCCTCAAGGTGGTGGATCACTTGGTAAAAGACATAAAGTACACTTGTCCTTCGAAATTTACTCGCCTTTTGCCCTCAGGTCTCTATTTTACTTACTTTCGCTATCGGAGTCCCCAAGGGAGATAAACAGTCGGGGCCTGAAATCGTTTTCGACTTAAAACTACGCCTTTCAGAAACTGAAGTATCGTTATCCTTTGACCAAGAACGCCCTATATCTACTTTGTTGCTTTGAACTCAGCCATTCTGATTGCAATACGCTTCGGTACAACCAGACATCGTAAATGGATAAAGAAAACGTCAAATGTTTGCAATGCCAAGCGCCAAGTATGTGCCAGCAGTAGAGAATCTACGAATAGACCGATGCCACGACAAAAGAAAATTCGAACAGATATTCTGCGTAAACGTACCGCTTGACAACTACTGCTCCGATGGCGGTAGTGATTGCAGGAGCAGCTCGAAGTCGGAATCACGGTGGCGCCACAAGCCTCGTCCTCAGAACTCGATGACGTAGTGTCACCGTGGGAAAGGCTTTGCGATTTTAGAGGAACGTACTGTCGTGTCCGACGATGCGCGCGTTGGGGTATGAGAGGCGAAGAGGTGGCCGGCAAGAGAACCGATTTTCCGGGCGCCCAGGAGCACTGGCTCTGATTTGACCAGCCTCTGTAAGTAGACAAAGAAAAGGGAAAGAGTGTTAAGCAGTTACCCTACATTTTTTAGCACACAAAATACAATAGGATTATTTGTGAAATGGCCAACTTCCATGTAGGATACCAGGTTCGACCGCATCTAGAGCCGCATTTTACTGACAGTTGCGAAAGCGTTTCATGATGCTGCAGACATTTTCTACTTCATATTTGATTTTTTTTGACAAATAAACTCGTGCAATTTTTTATGACGCCTATAATGGAACTAACGCAGTAGCTCAAGACGTTGATGAAATGCCGTTCTGCTGGGCGATTTTAAAATTGAAAATGAGTCAGCCATATGGGGGATCGGGGAATTACAAGCTAGAGGCGGTGGGAGCAGAAGCGGATCCACCCATTTTTAGCTACGCATAACTCCAATTTCACCAATACCGTGTGACAAGCAAAGCAGCTGGACGAGCAAATGAATTTCGTCATGTGAATTAAGGACTTGTGCTAGACAAGAAAGCCTACTTTCCTCCCTGCTGTCGCATTTCAAAAAGAGCATCAGTGCTAAAAGCCAAGACCAGGTTACTAATCAATGCCTCTACAACCGCCTAATATCCTATGAACTTTCAGGTATTGGTAACAACTTAATACGATCTAGACATAAAACTGACTAAAAAAGCCTAAATTTTGTGGAAAGTTACCTTCTAAGTAAGATGAAAATAATGCCTACCCAAGACTTGTTGAAGGCTGGTGGCCAATGGTATTGTAGGCACGGCCTTTTTGCAGCGAAAGCGCTGAACCATAGAGCTCCTGTATTCCGTACACCCGCTCCGTCCATCCATTGTAGCCCTGCTGTACCGGCAATCGAATCGTGGGAGTCTGTCTATACACAGAAAAAGCAAATTTGTCCAGGTGGATGTAGAATGGAATAGGAAAGACGGCTAGCAAGCTTGATAATGCATTTCAAATAATTTTGGAGACTAAGAACACACACACGCACAGACGCCAGCAAGCACATGCAACGATAAACGGCATACAGAGCACAAAACAATACGCTAGAGGGCACTCCAACTAACCTGTACTCATAGATCACTCGTGCTGGCATTGAGAAAGAGTCACTACAGCAGCAAAGTGTATCATAAAACTAACTCCTGATTTATCACATCAAAAGCAAGATTTCGGACTTTGGCAATAGATTTGGATGTCATTTAATAAAGTTACGAACCTTATAGTGCGAGAATGCACTGAAGAATCGAAAGCCTCATTTTCTGAATGTCCAATCGTATTAAGATTGTAGCCACTGCCTCCGCAACTGCCACAAGGGCGGTAGAAGGCCTTCTGACCCGTAGAACTACGACTTCTACGATGGCCGGGTGTGGCAATACGATGGTAGCTGGGGTCCTCAATGCGGCTGGACTGGGGATGTGTTCTGGAGGAGGTGCGGCAGTAGGTTCTTGTTGGACCTGTGGCTAGAGTGCGCTGCTGGGGGATCAGGGAAGAACCGATCACTTTCAATGATGGATTTGTATCGTTGCTGTTGTTGGGAGCAGCTACATGGTGGCGACTTTTAGAAGGATAGCGTGATCGATTGTAGGTGGAGTAGGTGGTATCTTCGTCTGAAGAACTGGATGAGGCTATAAGCAATTGAAAAAGTTGAAGTAGATGACAGCGTCGAATCGGTTATATTTCATCCGGTTGTTATAAATTACTGGCTTCAAGTTTATGCACTGTAAGTACTACTGAGTTATCAATTACCCCTCGATATAATCAACCCTCCATTTATTTATTCCATCGAAAAACCATTTAATCACTAATCAACTCAAAACTACGTGAATTCAACCGCGTCGGATAAATAATCCACTCAACTATCCACTCCTTCGTCAGTTCAATTACTCCTGATCTATTCAACCACTTAAACGCACATAAATCTATTTCTTCCCCAATTCTTATAACATTCAACCGCTCATTCCCCCATCCTCGAATATGACATCCCCTCAAATAAATGCAACTTAAAAACAGATTGGAGAATAATAGGAAACAACAAGATTGCAAGTGAAAGAAAGGGCAAGAAATGGTGGAGATGAATATGCCAAAACTTTTGATACTAATCAGATTACTTCAGAGAACCCCAATTTTGGATGAAGTTCTGCAAAATGTGACTGACAATGCTCTACGCACTCATTGTATGGCATTAACCAGCTCTCCGTCCTATTTCGTAGTAAAACGCAATACCAGCTTTTAGTTCAGAAGGTGAAAAGGGAAAAAACGCGCACATACCTGGAAGACGTAGTTGTCTCACGTTTGTAGAAGAATGGCCTAAGCTTTTTGGCAAACGGCTGAGTGTACTCGCATTCACGCCATTCAAGGGTCGCTGTAACGTTTTTCTGCAACGAAAGTAACGAAAGGGCCTTAGAAAGACTTTAAAGTACTCTTCTTGTATGATACTTATTTTAACTGCAAACACGACTAAGTAGTCTTTCCTTTTCAGGACTAGGCCACTAGGCTCCCACAGCTTCTACACAATGATAATAAGGTCCCTCCAAGGCTTGTACGATCCATAACATCTTCAGCGATAGCTCCAAATACCTTGAAGGATTCTCTCCAAATGTGGAGTTGGAAGAACCCGACCCGGCACCACTTTCGCGGTGTCGCGAGGCAGATGCAGAGGCGGTGGAAGTGAGTCTAGCAATGCCCTTACGAAGACGTAGAATATCCGCTTCCAGTGACATTACATCATCAGGAAGCATCTTCGAGAGTCGGCTGCAGAAGAGGCACTAGTTGCTGAATGCATAGTGTTAAGGGTAAAACACCTGTCTCAACACCGGACAACCTACTTGACGTTATTATCGACATCAAGTTCGTCAGTATTAGTGGTGGTGTCGGAGAGGGAGTTCACTAAGCCGCCCTTGAAAGGCGACGACGACGGCGGCGCGGCAGCAGAGCAGGTGTCGGTGGCCCAAAAACCACTGTCCGATTGCTTTCGCTGCGAGTCGATGGACGCCTCGTTGAGGGGGGCTACAGCGGCTTCGGTGGACCTCTGGCGTACGAGACCACCACGAGAGGCGGCGGTGCCATAGCAACTGATCCCACTGCTTCCACTACTACCTAGGGGAGTCTGTGCCACTCCGCTGTCCGGACTCACCATTTGTCGTGGATTGGTGGGCGCGTCTTTCATCGGCTGAAGATAACCAAAAGTGTTTGTATAAGCGTAAATCATACAGGCTAACCCAAGGGCATCCATGCAATCTACCTTGGAGACAATGGATTGGGAGTAGGTCTGAACGGATGGTTTAGCAGTTAATGCCTGGTTTACTGAAATGGAAAGAACGGGCAATTTTCGAAGTGGTAAAGGAAGTTTGAGGTCAAAAGAGAGCTACAGTAAAGAATGAATTACCACCATTATTGATGCCGTAGTCACTCTCAAACATTTGGCGAAGATTTTTTGGTGGAAATATAACGGAAGACTGGGCGGAGTATCGGTCTGACAGCTGAAGCATCCTCTAAAATAATAAAAAAGACCATTGAAAAGTAATGCCCATTTTGAGGTTTAGAGATGACAAATAAATTGTTTGACATTTGACCTGCATCAATGATTCAACATTTTTCCAGTGACCGGGAATAGTTTTGAGCTTGTTGTAGCGAGCGAGAAGTCGAGAGAAATGGGCTTCTGCTGCCTCCCGCGAGTCTGTAGCAGACATGGGGAAAAGAAAAAGTTATATATTAAAAATTCTACTATGGGTTCGTTGTTTGAGGTTTCATAAAACCAAATCAACCCCACTCCCTTGGGAAAGGTCAACAGATCAGGGTGTGAGGTAGCTAAATCGATTCATAGTAAACACGACCAAATCATCGAAACATGGCTATGCCTCCTTTGTGCGCTTTTGTGCATTAATTCTTCACCAGCTGAAGACAAATTAGCGACCATGATTCAGAGCTATCTACTCGAGACCTCTTGAAGTAACTCGAAGAGATTCCATAAAAACCTTTTTCTGAGAAACTGGAAGGATTGGGTGGTCAATACGAAGTCCTATTCTTACTCCTACAGAGCAAAACCCCATAAGAGATACCGTTGCAAAACTCGCCCGCGGAAAAATGTTCACTTTAGCTAGGATAAAAAGGAAGGAGATACTACCTCATCCTCATACTTATTCCACGTACTCCCTGGTAGCAGTTTCCAAAGTGATATCCTATTTTCTCGGCATTAAAAGACATTCACAATTCTGTCGATTCATAAGTGAATTAACAGTTGGAAAATAAAAGTGCGGTAGAAACAAGGGTAGCTAGGACTAGGTCTTTTCTTGGACTCTGGGGATAAGATCTTTTAAAAACCAGAATGCACATGCTTACGTACTACTGGAAAAGCTAGGTGGATTGTCATGGTAATTATTCAACATAATAAAAAGTTCCAAGCGCCGTTTTGCAGTTAGACTTTTACTATAAAAAACAAACATATTTGGTTACAGCAGATGTCCTAGAAACGGCACATGTCAAAGTAATACCCATGTAATAGATTCCATTTACGTGGATACCTTTTAGAAAACAGCATAATGAACATATACAATTTTCACAGTTCAGTAGGGAACAATTGAGTCAACAGCAAACTAAGACATGCAGGAAAAACGCACTTGTAAAAACGACGTAGGAATAAACGCCAAACCACTAGGCAACAAAGAATAAGTAACTCTTCGCACAAGCGACAGGTGGGAATACATAATATCAAGAAGAAATTCCCACAGATCCTTATTAAAGACAGTAGCATCACTTCGTCTAGGGGACAGTAATTAAATCCTCCCCAAGTAGCACAAGTACCTTCTTGTTCTCTGTCAAGCAGAACACACACACCTCCAAACATTCGAAAATACAGACAACGCCGTGAGGATTATAAACATCAAGAGTCTATAAAAGACGCTAGCAACATCACCTTGCAAACTAGAAGGCACGTTCTATTTTGACTCCAAAGTGGTTAGACAAAGCGCCCTGTTCGAATAGATCAGTAGAGAGCAGAAAACTGTAGAGACATTAGTGGAAACACCACTCGAATTCACACAAAGCTCTCGAAAATAGGGGAGGGAGAGGAATGCACGAATACATAACACCTCTAGAAAAAATCCAGGTAGCCTTAAAAAAGAATGATAACGTAACCTTAAAAAGTATTTCCTGCCCCGATTCTGAGGTGCAGGCGATAAATAGCTTATCAACAGGCCGCAAATAATTTATGTAGAAAATGGATAAAAGCGCCGAGGAAGCACACACCCGCGGAGGCAGCAATGGTAGCAGCATCGACAGCTCCTGGATGGGCCGAACCGGATGGTGAAGACGAGCTCTCGTGGTGCGAGGCTGCAGGGCCCGAAGAGTTGATACCAGTGGCGGTGGTGGGAACGCCAGTGTAGTTCGTGTTAGCCGAGGCGGATCGGCGGGAATCCACGAGGCTAAGGGAGGAGGGACGAGGGGGTGTAGTGTTGTCACCATCGTCATCTAGCGTACACTCCAATGCTAGTTGCAGCCGCTGCGACAAGCGATCGAGGCGAGAACCGATCATGGCCTGACTATCGAACAGACCACCTGAAATGGGAGACCCAGAAGTTAAAAATAATTGCATCAAATTTTAGCTATGGTTGCAGTAACAATTAAATCGGGAATGGGCCACTGTAGTCGAAAAACATCTGTAAGATTGCTGTAAGGCAATAAAAGTTGATAGGAATTCAAATATCAGGTAAACCCCGTGTTGCAGTAAGCTCACAATAATTCGGGTGGGCGGTTAGATAGCGCTGAAAGCAAACACTGCGAAATTTTACCATATTGGTGCATTAAATTAGACCGCTTTCGGTCGACCTCAAAAAACACTATTAAAATAGTCTTTTGAGTGCAGTTCGATAATAGAGGCTACAGAAGAACCGCACTAAAATTGATAAGATATATCACTAGCCTTCCAATTAGACGCCTTCCTGTCTTGATGCAACTACAAGAGATCTTCATTACCGATTCGCGGATGGTTCCAACTCGTCCAACAACTGCTACGGTGTCCGGGGCAAAAGCAGAAGCGTTATGGCTTAGAATGAAAATAAGGTGAAGACTGTGCAGAATAAGGGCAGCTGTTTTTATCATGTGACATTAGGTCTTAATTATCAAATGATTCTACCCACAGGATTTACGTCAATTTCCAAATCGTGTTATTCATTCATGCTTTTAAAGTTGCAATGCATTTGTGATGGCTTCGAAGACGGTTCAAGTATTCGTACACCATTAACAGAATTGTGTACTCGATACACGAGACTAACACATCCTCAAATAGGTAACTGCTTAAAGCAAAGCTTATTTTCCATTTGCCAGAAAAACTCGTCTTTCACCATCATCAATATCAATGAATCGGCGACCGAGAGACAGCAACATGGCGCGCAACTTTTAACGCTTTTTATAAAAAAAGCAGTTAAACGATCCAGAAACAAGAGCGATTGTTATTAAAAGAGCGATTAAGAATTTATTCTTTCGTAAGATAGGGCAATATCCACCCAGTATCTGAAACTTAGAAAAGTGATTTCCAAAAGCAACCGATGAGTTAGCGCGATTGAATGAAATGGCTCGCTTACCACCGGACCATAGGTACTGTCCAGCTTGGTACCGACGTTGGAGATCCTCCAAATCACGATGAGCCGCAGCGATTGCTTCTTTTCGGTGGTCATCAAAGGGACGCACCTCAATGGCATTCAGACGTTCATGAACAGCAGCGAGGGAGGCGTTCAATTGGTCTTCGAGGGACTTGGCTGCTTCCTGCGTGGCAAGATTGACATTTGCTACGGGCCGATGACTTACTGTAATAAATATACACTATTTAAATATATATTAGTAAGAGGTTCATAACCAAATTAATGGGGATGGAAATTGGATTGAATAATTTTCCCCTAAAATAGATGAGAAAGTGAACAGAAATTATGAAGAAAAACTCGAATCTGACGAGTCTGTGGAAGAGTGGTCTAGTGCTTTGCCGATATATAGGTCACAATAGCCCAAATACCCTATTCAAGGGGAAAATGCCAAAGCAAGGTAGCGAAAGCCTGGCTGCCGCCGTAATCATGGAGGTATTTACATATGAAGGTGTAATTCCAAAAAAACATGGATCTTAGCAGGATTTAGTAATAAATCAACGAGAAAACCCGGTACTTTATAAAAGGGGCACCACGAAAGGTGTTCAAAAGGTTTTCTTTCCAGTTTTTTGTACCTTTATTAGAGGGGAGGTAGTATTAAATGATACTGTCTTAAGGTGTCACACAAGTAACTCAATCTGACGATAGCAAAGTTATGAAGTTGATATCAACTGATGACAAAAGGAGCTGAAGAACAAAGCACGCAATGGAAGTATCCATAACCTATATAAAATGAGGGGAAAAGGGCACTAAGAAAGTTTATAGCAAACGCATTGTGGACATAATATTAACATCTATTTTTCAAATAGATGGATTAACCGTAACAAGCGCAAAGTAAAGGGGAATGAGACGCGTGTTCTATTCTAAAGAAGATCATTTGCAAGGGTATCCTCTTTGCAAGACAGCATTCTATCCCACGTCGCAGCCCACACAAGACTCCAAGATAATTAAAGCGAGGGATTATGGAACATTTAACGTTCAACTTTTCATCTGATGAATTAAGAAACCCAACTTTTCGCTGATACCAGTAAGAAGCTGGCGTGACGCTGAGAAATAGTAGTAAACAATCAACCTTTGCTTAGACTGACTCTAAGCACCAGTTGTGGGTACGGTTGGGCTTAGGGAATCACCCTTCTGGTCACTGTATAATGCGTACAAACAGGTGCAAAGTCCAGGGGATAAGCCGAACTAGAGTAAAAACGGGTGTTTGAGGGATTTGCACCTAACCTTCGGAACATTGTGACACGAACCCACCTGCTACTCTCCGAGATAACTTGTGTAACACAGAGGGGCAGTGCCGAATTAGGGACAATTCAAGACTACCCTCGTCGTAAACATGGGCGTACATACACGCAAGCACAAACTGTGCGGTGGGCAGTGAATTAATGTGCGATTTAATAAACAGATAAGTGCTAAACACTACCTCCGTCGAAGTCAGCACCGTCATCGCCAGAAGAGGCGGTATTGTTACCATTTGTAGTATTATTGGGGGAAGACTTGGAACATTCAAATCCATCGTTCAAATGGTTTTGTCTGAAAGCAAAAACAGTCATCTTAATACATTCGCTACCAGCGTCACCTATACGCGACACTCAGATTTCCTTATCCAAGCCTGCGGTTATAAATATGTGACAAGTTCTTTATTGTTTTATGGCAACTAGCTGAGCTGAAAACCGCGAAATAGACGTTGGATGATCTTGGTCCGCGAGTAAATATATATATTTAATTCTAGGGTGTCACCATACCATAAAGATGAAACGTTTGAGCTGTGGTGGTCCTCTTCCTAAATGCACCGCAATCGATGGTAGTAAAGTCAAATGAAGAAAAGCTGAGACACGATTTGACCTCATGGAGCGATAGATATGACGTGAGAAAGCCAGGCTCTCCCACTAAAGGTCCGTGACCTAGGCGCCAAAATTAGTTGCTATCGCATCAAGGGCTACAATTATAGAGGAAATGCGATTAAAGGGCGATTAGATGTGCATTTTAACAAAAAACTGTGGATAAGATGAGAACTTGCGTCACAAGAATGTGGCACAACTAGGCTAGGCCTCAGATATGAGGATGTATTCATAAGTTAACATCTAATCACATCGGCAATCACTCGTTTGATAGTAAAGAATATCTCTTACGATGGGAGAAACTGATAACAAAAAGGTCGAAGAAAAGTACACAGGAGGTTAGCATGAGGTGACCAGATAAGCACACGAGGATATTCAACACGAAAGCATGGTGGCTAAAGAAAGTTTTTCCAAAAGCTTTATTCGCCAAAATAATCGAAAATGCAACCCTACAATTGACGACTTTTTCCCAGTTAGAAGTGTATTCCGACTTTTAGCAAATGCTGTACCTTTTGAAGATACGAAAAAAAATGAAAAACACTTCCAGTCACCTTCGACTTCATCTCACCTTTGTTCTAACATGTCTCTTAATTGTCCCATATAATGAGATGATAACCACTTGGAGGGATCTTATTAGACGAATGCAAAGAAAGACATTCACTCACACTCTTCTCCCACTGCAATAACAATCCCAAATCATTCTAACTAATCGTAACACGTAATTTACCACCAGTAAGTGTAAAAATTCTTAAATGCAATATCTCTATCTTCAGTGATTCATAACCAGGGTCACAGTCTTCCCAAATGCCAGACTACAAATTTCACGAGAAGCTAGCTTCTTGTGCCTTGCAAACCGAGAACAGCCCGATTCGCAAAGCAGACAAGCTGCAACCACATCCACCGGGTCCAACAGACACAATGGATTTCGAAATAGAAATGCTGGTGATAGACTGATCAGGTTTGATGGTCACCTAGTACTAGTTAGCTATGCAGTGATGCGTGGAAACGTAACTTGCTTACTAGCGATAGCAAAGCACCGAACATAACCATGAATAATCACTCGGACATGAAAATGGTAGAAGGAGAAATGGACATAATCAACATTAAGCAGGTCGAAAGGCAGTGTTCAAGGAGGGATCACTGCACTAGCAAGTTCTAACTCTCCGATAGAAACAGATACGAGGCAGTGGCGAATACACTTTTTGGCAAAGGAAGCAGTACACCCGTTTTACTTTTAGCGGGGGAGAAAGATAAAATAGTGACGGGACACTTTCACCTAACAGAAAAGAATAAGGCGTGGGATGGATAAAATAGTGCAGCCTATCAATTTAGCCCAGGAAGTTAGATACTTGCATACTATTGCTACCAGCGTAACGGAAAAAAAAGAATAGGCATTTACATCATCTGAAAAACAGATAAGAATGAGTAATAGCGAAAGTGCCTCCATGAACAATTCAGAAGAAAAAACAAATAACATACATACCACTTATGCCATAAGCCTGAAGCAAATCAACTTAGAGGCGCCACCTCAGTCAAGCCTTTCAACTTCACGCATTAGTGACTCAGGTTAAACTGAGGTCAGGTCAGTAGACTGCGCAATCAAGCAATCAAATCCTGAACGATAAAAAGAGACCTAGCCTGCTTACTCAGAATGACAGATCGAAGAGGAGAGAGGCATGAGATGGACCTGCGGTTGCATGCTAGCCCTCTGATTATAGCTCGGAGAGCCATACAACAGTGTCAGGGTCGATTTGTCGCGAAGGCTCATGACGGAGCCAGAGACATGAGGTTGATGCGGCCTTTTGGATAACGATGCTGGGACGCAGGTATCCAGAGAGACAGAGGTGAGTTTCCGGCCACGGAGGGTGTTAAATGAAGTGTTACTGGGAGTGGTGGGTAGAGTTGGCAATGGTGTCGAGTCGTCGCAACCGACTTTGGCCCGAAAGCGCAGATGATCGATGGTCATTTCAGCAGCTGCGTGCTTGGCCAGGAGATTGTCATAATAGCGCTGCAACTGCTGGATGTAGTCTTCCTGGTGCTTACGCGTCGCCTTCTCCTGCAACAGGATCATCCACACATGTGTACTGAAGCGCTGTTCAGTCGGTCTCTAAAGTGTGGGACTGCTATACGGAAAGTGGTGACCAGCCGAATCATGTCCACATGTTCAAAAATTGCAAGTGTTGTTATTGTTACAATGTATTTAGCAGGTGCGTCGCTATGGTTCAGGTGCCTAGTGTTATGACGAGTTCCACATTGCAGCTCAAAAAAAGCAATTACCCTCAGACCAAGAAAGTCCTACTCGTGACGCGACCCGTATGATAACCAAAGACACCAAGACAATGTTTTTTTTTAAGTGTTATTAGGAGTTTAAGTGCCAATTAGGCCCTTTTACATGTTCCAGAAACGTTGACAACGGTAAATTAATAGGAACCTTTGGTGAGATTGTTCAACGCCCAAGCGAATAAAAAGGGCGGTTCAGCCACCAAGTGAAAAGACTCTTAATGTCCCGGCATAATTCGCCGCAATGACTTTTGTTACCAAAATGGACTTACAACAGCCATACAATTGTCAACATGTAATGAATAGATGTGTATCAATCGAACAGGAGTTCTTTCTATTGCATTGTATTTTGAAATTTACCGTGCCTGATGAACCAGGTGGATGTGGTTTCAGTTTGTCTGCTTTGCAAACTGAGCCGTTCCTGGTTTCAAAACTTGAAGGGCTAGCTTCTCGGCAAATTTGCAGTCTGGCATTTAGAAAGGCTTTGATATTGGGTAGAAAAATTTACCATCAGGTATGTTTGAGAAATTAATTTAATCCCAGTTCTGAACCACACAAAAAGGATGTATCACATTTTGGAAGCCCCTCTACACTTGCCAGTGGAGAATTACGTGTTGCTACTGGCTAAAATAATTGTAAAGGACAACTTTCACTATTGTTTAGTCTAGTAATTTAATGGATTTACATCCCAAATAAAGTGGGGGAGTCAAGGCGAATGAGCCCCGTACATATGCACAGGTGACGACAAGCAACTACGACTTTTTACCCTGGACAGTCGTGCGTCAAACAAGCAGTCGGGAAATACGCAACGCAGAAACGTATGGGAACGGAGCTAAATTTTTCTTGGCTATAAAAGACGGAACTTCCCTAAAAAGTTGGATTCGCAGTAACATTGCACCCCATTGGTGGTAAATTCGACAAATAAAATGCTTAATCCTCCCTCTCCTTCCCTGCAACTACCAAACTTTCATTACGACAACCAAATGAACTCATTAGGTTGCCTTATAAAGACTAGGGTTACATCAACCACTTTTCCACGCATGTCACTAAGTTAATGGTGAGGATTAGGCTTTACGCAGGCAACAATGCCCCAGCATTTCAAAAGCTATGAATTACACATTTTTTGAGAAACCACCCAACCATCGACGCAATGAGACACGGACTTTGCAAATGAACAACCTAAAAAATTGACATGCTAAACCTAACATCCATTTTATTACGCCAACTTAAAACTTGCTATTAGCTCTATGAAAACGAAAGCGCAAATCAACTTTAGCATGGATTGAATAGTAAATTCAGTTCCCATGTGCTGCACCGGTGAATTTTGGCGAGATCTTTGCTTATTTCATTGGATAGTGGTTTGACTATGAGGGAAAAAGGATGAATCAGATGAGCGAGTGCACTGTGGATGAATCAGTGGTAGGTTTTTGTGACAGGTCAACAACTGTCAAAGTACCCCCCACTTCCTTTTACGAAAAAACCCCTAGATTTGCAAAACGTGCACTCGCTCTCCGTTGCATTTGGCACACATGCTTTGGGAAGGAATTGACAAAAATGTTGCAGATGTTTGAGAAAATCTGTACCATAACACCAGGGGTTTGCGTAAGTTTTTTTTCCCATTTACCCAGCCTCTAGGCTGTCTGGAATACCCCTCCTAAAAGACATCTCTAACAACCAGATATTAATGGGAAAGTTAACCATATGCATTGAATTCCCATAATCTCCCCTTTTTTATGTAAGAATTAAAAATTACTACAATAGTCACCAGCTTGACACCGGGAAAGGTTTTCGGACTTTGTATATTACCGTGAGAATCCCCTTGTTTTATATTGCCTGTACGGTATAGACGTAAATGAAAGAACTTTCTATGATAATTTAGGCCTTATGATCTAAAATTGTTGGACCGACACACCTAAGGCGCCGTTGAGAGAAGTCCTGAAAGAAATATGCTGGTATCTACAAATAAGGGCGTTATGACCTACACGTTCGAATAACTAAAGAATGTTTTGCATGCAGCCAGAACAGGTATAATAGCGGTTTTGCCAAACAGTCTTCTGTCAATGTTTATGCGATGATAATGTTAATAAAACTCAATAACGGATTCCAATGTTGTACAAACTAGGACTTTGCATGCAAGCATTTTCCGAGTTACATATATCGTAATTAATTACTAGTTACACATTTGCCAATTTTCTTAAGTCAGGTCAAAATAATGCATTACTGTAACGAATGTGCTTAACAGAAGCAGTAGAGAAAACACCACTACGAGAAGTACAAGTTTTTAAGCATGCCACATGGAAAGATCACGCTTAAACATAGCAACCATGGTGTACCCACCCATATGAGGGTCATGCACAAAAAAACTCCGGATACAGATAAGGCAATGAGAATGGTTTCACTTAACGGAATCACAAACACCTGCAAAGACGATAGAAGCAAAAAAACATCCAAGATAAAATCTACTGATCTGCCTGAAAACCGTACTTGATTCAGTTGAAACTGGAGCTCCCGTAGTTTGGACACGTTCTCCGAAACCCCCAAATCATTGGCATCAGAGCTTGGATGTTGGACAAAAGCCGTTCTAGTAGAAAAAGTAAAATGAAGCCAGACTTACTAGAGTATCTTTTTTGCATCAAACGACTTTAATGCAGAGCTTATGGGCCAGCGAAATCATGAGGTGCAATAGGGAGGAAGTTAAAGACAGGCGAATTATGTGTCAAGTTAGAAAAAACAAACTCACGTTTCACACTTGAGCGTAAAGAGTAAATAGTGGTTAACAATGGAGGGAATGCTTGAACATGTTGTAAATGCCTTGAAAAGTAAATGCCAGTTACCCAGAATTGATGTTCAAGTTACCATTGTTCTAATGCACATTAGGAGAAAAAAAAATGACATTCTGACGCGCAAAGATGTAACTTATTGTTTAGTGTCAGCCACTACTTTTCAGTGTGTACACCTACACATACATTTGTTACTATACCGATGACTAACCGCGAAAGGATGCAGACACACGATGGCGGACATTAAAAGATGGGTAACATTTACGAGCAGCGCAAAGCCGTTGCACGGCATAACAACAAATTGCGTCCTTTTCGTGGGCAAAATGTGGCCCCACAAGCACTCGAGTGCGTACGCACACCATGGCAACAAAATAAGCTGCCCTCCTCCCTCCTCCAGTCCATTTCACACTGCGGTGCGAAAGATAGTTTTGGGTGAAGAAGGGCAATGGTGTAAATAGCGTGCGTGTGAGTCACGGCTGCGTATCAATTCTGTTCATTTTGGGCCAGTTACATGGTGATTCACAGCAAAAAAAAAAACACCCCTTACGGCGAGGCCTCGAGAGAGGGCCCAGACTTCGTGAACTGAAACGTTTCAGTCTGTTGCGGTTGCTACCCTTTATCAATGATGATTAATGACCCAAAACAAGTAGCATGGCTGGGGTTATCACAAGTGGAATCAAATTTACAGGGTCGTGCGATTTACGGAAGCAGGGTTCGGCACTACTGAAGATGCGATGAACCGCATGGGATTCACGTATGGACCTGGAGCAGAGGGCAGTGGTCCACTAAACGCAGGGTGTGAATCCAGAATTCAGAATTCAGAATCACGTTCATGAAAACCATTTAGAATTGTCAGGAAATTAGCACCCGATATTGGAGCAAAATTAAATTCAGACCCTGTTTTTTTGCAGAAAACTTTCGTCGATGTTCGGTTTTCATTGCTAACGGAAACGGCAACTTGTGTCCAGGGTATTTTCATAAACACGACAACAATTATCCTGCACGCGTAACCCTGAGGATTTAACGAGATGTCATGCCTCTCGACTCCCCATTTTCTGGACTAACGTTTCTGATTCATTGACTAACATCACCGATGGCTGAAAAAAACGTTCCATTGAACCACACCCGGCCGATACAATGGGCAACTATACAAGATACAACTCGCTTAAAAGAACGTTACTCACTACTAGAAAGGGTAATGGGTGCGTATAAAACAGTAAAAATAACAGAAGAAGCATTGTCAAGTAGTGGGTTTCAATTTGGTCTCACGGGAAGGAGATAACGATAAATAATCACATTGCTTAGATCTTGGCACAAACTAATGCGGGAGGGAAGATGCTATCGCCTCCAAAAAAAATCCGCGAAGGCTGACTCATCGTGATTCTATTATGTGTGCAAAGGAGGGAGATCAGCGACTTTTCGCAGGCACACAGGTGCGTCCAATCGCATCGTTCAGAAATACACAAACCGGACGAGTTTCTTTTTAAACGAACTAAGGACGCTTCAATGCACCAATCACTCGTCAAAGCCCAAACTAAGGTTAAAAGCAGAAAGTAAGAAACTCACTTATTGGAGAGATCCGACGGCTTTGTGGGACGGGGAGCCTGGCAGCCACTATTGAGAGTGACCTCCGATTGAGCTACCGTTGACGTAGTGACCTCGATAAGGTAAAAAAACACTTACAAAATAGTTATAGAAGAGAACTTGCTATAACGGCTTTCAACACGCGACAAGTCGAAAAAAGGCAAACGAGGCGAGTCTACATACGCCACATGGCTCCAAAAGCAAGTAGTTGCTGGGCGACGACAGTAAACAAAACGCCATATTAGAATTAAGAACGATTAAACCGAAACAAGGAGAGTGAGATGGGGAATAATATGAGCTAATCTCCTAATCTCAGAACCAGCATATGATATGACGACGAGCCGAAATACACTCGTAACAAAATCCTTAACGTGATAGCGACGAACCAGAATTGAAGACAAATGGGGCTAGCAAATATCTCGAGAAAAAAATGACACTTTTAGATTTAGTCATAAACCCTGAGATGTACCAAAATGATGAACTTGCACTAAACATTAACAATGTGTATCAAAAATTGCACCGCTATAGTTAGTCCAGGGCAATGCAAAATAAACAAAATAATTTTAATGCGTTCAATTCACTAATTTAAACGACAGGCTTTTGGATATAACTAAGTGCAACACTTCACGTGGATTAGTAGGCGTACAAAATATGCAAATATGTGAAATATCCCAAGATTAACCGGCTTGACATTTTGAGCTTTTATTACCGCGTCCGCATCCTACACAGCAGACACCTCTGTTTCACAATACCAAGATACTGACAATCCATATCAAAAGCGATGTAACAGCGCCTGCACAGCCAACCGCATTGTTGCATCGAAGTTATAACCAGAGCTACAGGATGGCAGGCACCGGGATGGCTACTACAGAGTCCCAAGGGCGGAACCATCCACGTACATGGAGCGAATGGGCATTAGAATGACGTGGCATACACTCATTGCTCAAAAGTGCTACTTACTCTAAGCAATGGAGTAAGGAAGCAGCGACGAGCCACGCCTGACTCTCCTATTAAACGTCGACAAAGTTCCTACTTTATCAATGGTATAGTACTCCATCTGCAATAACCACTCCATTTCAACTTGTAGTATTCCACAGAGTTAATTAAAATGAATTAGATGGAGGAATCGTGTATGTGTGAAAGCGACTGGACCCTATTTACACCTTATATGTAATAATTGTGTTTGAAGCCACCCATTCATTCCAGGGTCAAATGCAATGTGGGAAAACAGACAGTTGGCTAAAAACAGGAGGGATTTGAGAACACTTACAACAGATTTTTCAATGAACTCGAAAACTAACATTTAATATCTGAAATAAATGAGGAGCATACCAATATGCGCAATCCATTGTACCACGAGTCTGTATGGTTATCAAAGGAGACGATATTTACCCATCTTAACAGTTTTTCGCATGAGTGAATTCCCATAAGCTTATCGAAACAATTTCACTTAAGTGAGCATTCGAGAGTTGAATCGAAAATACCCTATCTTAAGTACTAACCAAAGTAAAATTAAAAAGGTGTTTTGAGATAACCGTGTTTGTTAGCTGGGTAACTAATGCTTCAAAATAGAAAGATTTGCCGAGCACATCAGTACAAAGCGCCTATACGAATGGGCCAGGAAAGTTACTGTATTACGTTTGACAAGTATGCTACTCACGTCGTCAGACCCATTGATATTCTGCGAATGAGCTGCAATGGGATGGACTAAACGCACGTCGGAGAATCCTTTGCCCATTTGGTCGGGAGGAATCCACTCCACACCATCAGTTATCATCTGATTCACAACCGAGTCGTAAGTGACAATAGGGTCTTCAATGGACAAAGGATGGGCATTGAGAGGATTCAAGGTCTCAATCGAATCAGATTCAAGTCTCTGAAAAATAAAAAAAACTATTCAATGTACGTGCCCAGCCAAACCGGGAATGCAACGGAAAAGTTATTGCCAAATCTTTCATGAATTAAAGCGTAAAAACGAATTTGAGCCAATAAGTTGGAGGGAAAGAAAAACAGGCAACGAATTAAACACCAAAAGGAAATTGTCAGTCGTGGTTCTAAAGCCTAAATTCATAAATGCAAATGTCCGCCGACTACTCTACTTAGACAATCGAACTAGTCATTGACTGATCCAAAGGTCCAGCCGGGCAAGGTAGTGAAGAAGCAGTCATCTCCCTGATCGAACCAATTGTCTGAGAATAACCGGAACTCGGAGTTGAGCTGGAATTGTTGGTAACATGTAAGATGGCAAACAACGAATGGTATTTTCAACGGAAGAAACAGTACACATTGAATAGTTTTAATATCCCGTAAAAAATGGCGAAACGACAAGGAGGTGCGGTGAAATGTTAGCAATTAATGGATAATTAATTAATAAAAGGCACATATTTGGACGTACTGTAGCGGAATTTCGAGAATGTGGGGAAAATTCAAGCGGGATCGCGTCAATTTCCGCATCGATAGCAGATTCAATTACATTAAAATCATCAAGTAAGCTGCTATCAATGTTATTTTCCAAACTTGTAGAGGAAGCGTCACCTAGATCTTGCATTAAGGAACCTGTGGACAAAAAGAAGACCATAAAGGACTGGCGCTGCATTGAAATTCGACAAAAATGACAACAGAGTGAAATACTGCCTAGAAAAGTAATCCAGATTTCAGGTGCTTAAAATTTGAAAGGAGTCAGAAAACTCAAAGATAGTGAAACACAGCAAAGAATTAAAGGATAGCAGAAGGATTAGCTAAAATTGTAATAAAGTTATGCGTTTTATGAAGCCACATAGTCCATGCGGGAGGGATTACCACCCAAGAATACAATAGAGCAGACTATACTCTGGAAAACAGGTGCATTCAGATGCTCTAAAACAGGCGCTGGAAAGGATGGCAAATCCATCTAAATGCTAAGTAACAAAAACGACGAAGCTGATTTTAACAGCAAAGGGACCAAATGGTCGAACAGGCGTACGTGACGGCTTAGAGGCAATAGTTGCAAGGTACAAAGACAAGTGTGGTAAAAAGAAAGCATTGTTAATCCAAAAGACTCATATTATTGGAAGGAAATCCAACAAAATGAAAGTAAATAAGCAAACCTACGAAAACAAACCGCACCAGCCACAGTACCAAAACCTTTCAACCCAACGGCTAAATGGGGCAATAAATAAAACAAGAAAACACGATCCAAGTAAAACCCCTAGCCTAAGCCATACACCTTCTACAATCAAAAAACTAGCACGAATTTAAACATCGATGTGCCGATTACTTGTGCCAATACGTTTAAAGGAAGAACAAGGGGAAAGTTAAAATTCAGAACAAAATTGCCAAAATAGATTCACAATGACGTCGCACCTTTTTCGCCGTAATATGTTTGTAGTGCGTTAAAGCTTTTTTGTAGACGAAAGAAAACATAATACCGGGGCTTAACACATGTATTTGATATACAGTAGGGTCTGGAACTACTCACATAGCCCATGGGACAGTCCACCCGTCGAAGATGCAATGGCCAAAGCACAAAGCGGCTCTTTAACAAAAGCCAAGAGTTAGGCAAACAATTGACGAGTTGCACAGCTTCTTTACTCTTTTGGGCCTCATTGATTGCTCTACCCTTGGCCATCCTCCCATGTCAGTCACCACAATGTATTCGGGCTATCTGTGTCAGCTACAAGATTCCCATGCAACAGTAATAATACTTAATCCCAACGTTACCCATTTCTTTTGACAATTTTACTGATACTAAAGATTTGTCTTGTATGGGGAATGAATTCCGGGAAGAGGAATGCTCTAGCCATCAGAGGTGTCCACAGCTAGTCGTAGAAACACTGACCTAAGAGCAAACTTATGCAAACGGGGATGAAATTTGGAACATTGCATGGGGAAATGGCTTTGCGTCTACCCTTCCTTACCACTTTTGTTTTCACTTCAACGCTGCCCGATCATGACTAACAGGTTCTTCTTGGCCAGTGGAAAGGCGGAGGTTATATCGCGTTTTTACTTATGCAATATTTTGATGCAGGTCTTACGAGAAGTTCCGCAGTAGAAACTTTCTGAGTTGTTAATAGTTTTCGCAGAATGCAGGGCTAGGGTAGTTGCAAAAAACAACGGTTTTTAAACATGGTATATCATTTTTTATTTTTACAAGGGGGTATTTTCCGGCAGTAGAAATGCGAATGAATGTCTTTTAGGATTGGATTTGCCTTCCACTCTCACCAATGTAGCACAGCAGGACTGCCCTGAAGAGGATGGTAGACATGGTACTTAACCAGAGCATACAATTCCAACATGCCGAAAGGTTTGGGGCTACTGACATGGCTTAGGGGACAGCAAACATGGCGAACGAGCAACATCTAAGAAACTAATTAGATTCTAGGTCCCGGACCTACGGTCAGGCCCGTAGGCAGATAAGTTTTAACTCAGCTGCTTGGTTCTGGCATTGCTTTCGGTTCAGCCAGTAAAAAACTTTGATGCAAGTCTTAATGCATAAATTTCAGTTCCGTGTATAATGGGATAAAGAGTAACTAGTTATATAGTATGTGTTCAGAGCTTAATTGAATCATCATTTAATAATTGGGCTAATTTGCAATGTTTGACCTTGAGTTTTTCAAATAGTACAGTTTTAACCCAATTGGATCGTTCGTTAATTGCGATATTTGGATTCTACAACATTGCCCGTTTATTTTGAACGATGCCGTCCCTTATCAAACAGCAAATCCTGAAACCCCTGTCCATGTATGTGTGCAGTTTACGTTTACGAGCAGATTTGCAAAAAATGTTGATCCTGACCAAATCAGGCTGAGCGCATTAAAGGGCGAGTTGAGTATGGAAAATTTAGAGCTGAACGAGGATGTTTTAATGGAACTTCTTGGTTTCCCTAAATGGCTTCGGATAAAAAGTGCGATCTGTGCCCACATATACGTGAAGGTAAATGAGGCATTACCGGTTTATTCATTTTTGCGCAGATTCCTTGGACAAATCTCCGGTCCCGTCCCATTGTTATGGTTTAGCATTTCTCACATAATGCAATTTTTAAGATTGTCGATAGTGTAACAGTGGAGGTTGAGGTTCTGGAAAAAGCGTACCAGATTAATGGCAGTGATTCTGTTCCTAGCTACCGGTGCGTCACATGTTCATTTTATTGCTCTTAGTTTATCAACCGGACGTTATGGCATGGTTGAGCGTGTTATTGATGGAATTTCGATTCGCATCCATGAACTGATTGCTGAGCTGAAGTCAAAACTTTTTAAGGCCTCTGTCAATGTATGTCAATCCTCGAGTCATTTCTTGAACAGCTTTTATTCTAAAAAAGAATTTTAATACCGACGAATACCAAGTGCGCTGGAGCAAAAACTTTATTGTTTGGCTAGATTAGTGCTTATACAACTTAACCTGCTTGGGTGAAAACATTTTGCTACTACTTTTATGTATTTTTCCAAATTTTTGGCAATTTCTATTTTGTGAATTACAGCTTTCTCACATTTCCATATCAAGTAAAAAGCCTAGTTGGGATTCAGGGCCACTGAATTTTGGATTCATTCCTCTACCGGAAAGAAATAGCATTTTAATTTTCAAGGAGATCTCCTGGGAGAGCACTCGTTTCGAGGCCGATGGTTTAGCTGATCGCACGACACCTATCAAAGTCATCATCAATCGAGCACGTCTCCGGGTTATTTTAAAGAAGCAACTTTCAGGTAGTGCCTTTTTCCATCTCATTTCCATCTGTTTGACTTCTGCATTGTGGCAATTCATTGCACGAATTGTTTGTTTAGATTCCTCATTCGTGTGCGGAAAGATGGTTTTGCTGGTGGAAAGTCTTCTGTGGGTTCTCACAGTTTCGCAGTTAGAGGCGGCTATTGTTTTTCTGAAATCCATTAAACAATCCTTACAACTGTCAGCTGAGTTGAAGAGACGACTTGGGTCAAGTAAAACCAAGGTAGCAACTTTTTAGTTTCGCCGATTTTCTAGTTTCAATACGTAGCCATAAAATCTTGATCCGGTCAACTTTCCCCACTTCAAAATGCATTTGTCGTCACATTTTTCATGACGAAAATTTCTTGGTCCAGCCAACGCCTTCTAGGCTCGGTGGTCCCACGGGTACGGCCCTCAGGAGCGCGTCTCAAGGTCAGCCCGTGGTTGGTCGTGTAACTGATCCCAGACTTATACAATACTTTGAATTTTACGATGTGAAGGAGGATTCTTTCCATCTCCAAGCTAGTCTTATTGAAGTCCACTTCTGTGAAGATACTCTTTGTGGTACGTTTTTGAGAAATAGTAATCGTTTCCCGTTTTGATTGTTTGCGTTATAGTTCGTTTTTCATTCGCCACATTTTATTGGAACTTTATTTGTTGCTGTTCTTGTCGCATCACATCTTTCACATGCAATAAAGGGATTAGTCGAACCCAATGTAATTTTTCTAGGCTCATTTCCTCTATAAACGCGCAATGTTTTCTCAGTACTACAGTCAAGTCATGCATTTAGGATTTGCTAGTGTTTTTTAGAATTTGTGGACTCCCAAGGCCTTTATGCACTGGGCATCGGTCGTAACAATTGTTTCGTTTTTCTAAACTTTCGAAAATCTGCTTAGTAATAGGTAACATTATCCCGACTAGTTTGCTTGTTACTCGCTCGTAGCAACCCACTGATCGACTACTAACCAGTTTTAATTAATTCTACTCTTGATTAATTTTGTTTGTATCGGGGCCTCTTTTTCCCTGTGTAACTTCTTAATCCACCGCTTTAGCATCCTCGGTGAGCACGCAACTAGTCAATGGTGGTTCCGTTCGGATGACCTTGAGGAATCTCAATGTTGATCACTATCCAGCTCACCCCAGAAGTAAGTCCCTTTTCACGTGATCGTATGGACGCACTGATTTAATCTAGTCTGACAGCAGTGACATAAATAATGCCTTGTAATTAACGGCAAAGTGTAAGATTTGATAGCATTTAGCCATTGTTTAAAAATTACTTGTAGCTTACCGGTTTTGAGATTTGTCGAGTTTTCCTTCCACATTAGTGAAGTACTCAATTGGATTCACTGGCCACCATATCTCACTATCCTTCAATTTTACTACAAGTCCTTGCATATTCATTGGCCGAATTTTTATATTTGCGTAGGAAATTTGCGAATTTAGTTCTGAAAATTATAATGCAGATTGGTCTAGCACAGTCGCATCGTGGGATCGTATAAGTGTTCTTGTACTTTGCACATATCTTTATTCATAAAACACCCTGGAATTAAGCTTGGATCCACACAAAGGGGAAAAAATCTGGTAACAGGTGATACGAGCGAGAGTTCACTCCACGAGCATAGAGACCGAATTCTATGAGCCGTAGAATGCGCCCAAAAAATACTTACAGTTAGTGTTGTTCTCTCTCATTATCACCCACACCCGAATCATGAATCATGCTCTGCTTGTTTCTACGAAACTCGGATCTCTTATAGGATCGAATGGAGCAAGGATTTGGTGGTAACCTAGGCTTTACTCTGGATTTGATCTGGGCTCATTGTATTAATAGTTCCCTTTTCCATTGCGCCATGCGATGTTTATTGCTGCTGTCATTTTACGACCGTGGTCAGCCATTTGTTTGGGAGTAAGTGGTTGTTATCGACGTAGGCCATTTTCCGTTAGTAGCACCGAATGATGTTTTTGAATTTCTCTATTCTTGCGCATTAAGAATCGAAACGGGTGCTGTTAGGCTAATTTACGTATTTCACTCAAATACATACCTATAGCAAGGTATTTAGCTTTTCTGCGTAATTCCATTCCGCCGCTGTGTTACCCCGTTGATAAGAAGCTGTCGGCAATAAGCGTCTGGGTGCTTACGTTAACATTTTTAGTCGACTTCTTAGCTATCCACTGAGCACTCTTTGCTGAATGGATCAAATGTTATTTTTCAATCCTCCAATAGGCTATAAACCTCTACTCTTCTGATTTTTAAAAACCAGTCGCCAGAATTTCCCTTTTAATTCTTCGTTGTTGTGTCTGTTAATTCGTTACGCTAGATTGTCTATTTTCCAACTCTGGTCCGCCCTTGGACTGCTCCGTGTTCTTCCTTCTGTCTACTTAACACGCTAACCTTTGTCCTAAGAAATTACAAGATTTTGAGGGTAAAGCTTTCGACTACAAAATAAACAGTTTTTAAACATATTTGCTTACAATGAAGCAAAAACATTACACTTACAAACATATTGAGAATGAAGTTAAGCCAGATTTCCAGCGAGTCTCCATAGTGCTTTTCGTTTTACAACACTTTACAATACAAAACTTGCGACTTTCTTCGGGGTAATTATTAGTATCAAAAACCAATGTCTGAGCATTTATGATTCTCCATACGTGATTATTTGGGCACTCACTTGAAGCATCTTTCATTAAACCTAACATAGATTTTCCAATCACTTTCAGCTATTTCGCGACAGTTTTGGTGGTTTTTGTTTGTTTCTGACAGATTTAGTTTTGGAAATCCTTTTATATACATTGCGGTCATGACTACTGCCGACATTTGTCACATAAATGTGTTCATTTTAGAACTTTTCAACCAACCCATTAATAATTTTTGCGAAAGAGAGCTTCATCCTCTGCAATAAATGCTTACCTACAGCAGATCACATATCTCAATGCAGTAGAAGCATGGTATCAATTATCCATGCAAAATTGTAATGGTTTTATGTTTGCAATCTCAAAATAGCTACTCTACACGCTCAGACATGAAAAAGTACTCCTTCACCGTCAAATGCATTACTATTTAGCTCTCCTTCCTGAGCTTGGGGCTGGTGATGGCTGATATGCGTTTTATATTATTTGCGCTAACTGATTGAGTTATAACTAACTATAATTACTTTAAAACAGGATGTGGTTAACCTGTCCTCAAGACTGGTAGCAAACATGGTGAGATATAGAGAACATTAAGGGGTAATTGCAATTTATCTTCGCTGTAGCAACCCCTCGGACAGAATGGAGCAACTACGGTGAGATCAATCACGCCCGCACTCAATGGCTACAGTCCCTAAAACCCAACAGCGATCCCGACTGCGCCATTAATCGCAGCATTAAATCACCCCAAGTGGTACCGTATGAATCAGTTATCGTCTTCCGTTTGCAAGATATCACTGTCTCTTGCGTGATGCTGGAAAATCAGCGAGAGGAAGAGCGCTGGCCTCTACCCGTTGCAATCACCCGGGCCTACAAGAGGCGCACTATTATGCAGGCCTTCGATGGAGAGCAGCGAAGCCTCACTTCTAACACCTTTGTTGCCTCCGATACGGAAATGCACAAACTACCGGTGAAGGCGAACCTAATTTCGATTGACTTGACCCAGTGCTTTGCGCTTGGCAACATCGATGCAAGTACGTGTTCTAATTGGGGAATATTTAGTTCCCTTACAATCATCGACGATGTTAGACTTTTTAAAGGACTTTCTGCCTCTGTGCCAAATTCACTGATTCTTCTCATTACATTCTGCTTTGTTTTACTCTTAGCACATGCGTTTGACGTCCTACTTTTCTCATCTCAACACTGGGTAACAAATATGCCACATGATAACCGGTTGCACTAAGTCACGGCTGAGGTCAAAACAACGAGATGGATGTAGGATGCTCCTGGATATTTGCAATTTTTTCATTTTTGAGTGGCAGTTGAATTAGTCAAGAAGTGATGCCAAGCGATGTCATGTTAGGCCAATTAAACATATGGGGTGGTGGCAAACGTGTTAGATAAGTCAGGCAGCGGATGCTAGTTATCTTTATTATTCGCAATGAAGTGGGGGTACATATAGGAATTTGCAAAATGTTCATATTTGACTTCGTAAACACGACCAATTCTCTTCACGTATTATTTGCATTTTTCAAGCTTTGCCGATCATATTGTACGCCCAAGTCAATCCGTTGCATTTGAAGTTTGACGTTGATACAATGATTTGGCTGAATGCCTTTTTTCTCAATGTGACGACAAATTTGGTGGGTTTTAATGTGCTACTTATTTAATGAATAAGTCGAATTAAGTAGTCCTGGTACCAGTTGTGACTTAAATTTAGTAATGTAGTTCTTTGTGTTGGAGCGTAATATTCATTTGTGTTAAGTGAGAAACTCGTTGTGTGTTCAAAATTAGCTGGCCTAAGAGATGTTACTGTTATGGTCCTTTTTGTTTGTCTATCTCTGCCATGTGCGGACTTTCCATTGAAGCTTACCATAAAAACAAATTCCCCGAAACCAAATAGCTAACATGCGTACTCCTTTCAGCACTCCCTCTTCGGGGAATCCGAATTGTTCGTTGAGCAGGAGACATCACTTCCTCTCTTCTGTCGTGCGGAGGCTCTTATGCCAAGGGTGAGTTTGCTAATTCTAGGTGAAATAAACTTTTTCTTAATTTTTTGTGCCGAAAAACCCCATTGAATCTGCTGATATCTCCATCATTCTGAATGAATAGCCTATTGTAATCACAATGTGTCAGAAATAATTTATCTTCTCTGCTTTTCTTCGGTAAATACAAATAGTGTTAGCTGGTTTTTTTAATGATGCATTGGGATTTCTGAATGTGATGAAATTCAGTAAGCTCCAACAAGATTTTTGGGCAGTCCTCCCGAGCATACATCAAAGGCAAATTGTTTTTCGCGCTCTCAATGACGCATTTGAGAGAACGTTAGAAACTGACACGTATCAGCGTCATTCGTGAATATTCTACAAAAATGTTTATTTTATATCTTATCACTACCTTGAACACACTACCACACGCGTTTGGTACTGCCAGAAACCGACCATCATGTGAATTGCAGATTAAATGGTCTCTTTGAAATGTGACTTTGAAGATAAATCTGTCACTTCTTTTGTTTTCAAATTGTCTACACCACCCTGAATGTGATCGCCAATTAAATGAATTTCACCCGGGCGCCCTACTTGCTTGACTTATCAAGGTAAAGCGATTGCCTTGCTTTTTACGTGCACAGTCAATGAAGGACCGTCTTGCACCTTCTTTCTCTGCTACTTTGACTGAAGTCCCTTTCCAAGAGACTTCCGACGGGAAGAAAGGAATTAGTGTTGTCATTTGCTTCATTTTGTTTGCTGTGAAGATTGAACAAGCTCTTGCTGCGTTCCTTATGTTATATGTGTCTGGACGAGATTTCATTTTAAATGTACGGAAGGGCCGGTGGGTCAGTAGAAACTTGCAAAGACTGAAAAGTCCGCGTAGATAATCTTGAAACTTATACAAGCATTGTCTCTTCAAATACCCACAAGCAAGAAAATTGGTCGATTTTAACAAGCTTTATTTGCGTTTTTGGTTATAAAACGCAGCAGTTAATCAACGCTTTAGGTTGTGTTTCCGCTGCATCCCCCACCACCCAATGCTGCTAGCAGTAATGCTTCTGACTATCCCTGGACCGGTCCATCTGCCTTGGTTGTTCAGGTTGGATTTTACTCTTTTCTCCTTGAAAGATTGTCAGATTATTGATTGCCTCAAACAATGTATTCATAAGTTTTATGCTTTATTTTACCGTTACTGTAAAATATTTTGCAGAGTTTAGTGGTATATCTGCTAGTTTTTTTTTCCGAAACTGGAATAAGTTGATGGCGTTCTTCGAAGTCATGCAGGTCATTTAACTATTTATTATAGATCATATTTCTATGCTTCTAAGCTACTCCTTTATGTCTTTTTTGGGCATCTAATTTTTGCTTTCCATATTAAAGATGATGCTTGGTCGCCTTTTGGTGGATGATGAAGTGGTTAACGGTTGGTTACGTCTAGCCAATCTATTCTACGGAGGCTGATGAACTCCACATCAATCGTACTTTAGATGATAAAATTTGAATTAATTTTGGACATGATGACCAAAATCCATTAATGGCTCACTGACACCTGGTAACCCTTATTCAATGAAAATAACTCAAAGGTCTCAACGTCTTTAAATTAAGTACTTGCATGACAAGCTCAAGGCAACTCTGCTAGTGACCCATTATTTATTCAATAATGTAATAGATAATCGGAAAACACTTCATTAGCCTATAAAAGGATTCATCCTGAAGACTTTGGATGGATAGTGGTACGGGTGGCATGGATGCACCCTCTACGATGTATGGAGGGTACATCGTGACGTACGGAATCCCTGTGTGATAGTGTATACTGTTGTAAGTCCCCTTAAATTCACGACTACATGCACCCAAAGGACCTGCCTTTAGTACCCATAAAGACCATATTTTTTACTCAACTAATAAGACTAATATTTAAACTGGATGTCCAAATCCCTTTTTTGTCTTTAAGTCCGAAATGAACTAATTACTAGACCCATGCTGTTTGTTAGAATATCTAATTTCATGAGAGCTTATCTGTCCATTATCTTAGTAGCACAGAAAGCTTAATAACTCAGGTTCCATCTTCCTCCCTCATACAGGTCGACACAGTAATTCTGCAAACTGTCCCCAGACCACTGACCACCTCCATGGCCAAGACTTTGGAGGATTGTTTGGACAAATTAGAGAAGCAATTACAACCCCCACCAACTTGGGGCCGTGAGCACACACCTCCCGATCTGCCTCAGTTCAGGCGATTCACTGATTTGAAACCTCTTTCCCCGGTACGCTTCCAACTACTACTTTTGGGAATTTAAGTATGTTTTGTTTAACTCTCGGAGTTTGTGTCACTTTGACATCCCACTTCCACTAATGGAATACCGATAGCGCAACAAGTCGAAATATTAAAGGATAAATGTTGATGGAATTGTTTAAGTAGCTCCGTCCTGAGGGGCAATTTCAACCTAGCAGTAAGATGTAAGCTGATTCCAAGATGAAATGTAATTTGCTAAGGGCAGTTTTATAACAGGATGTGTGTACTGTCAATTCGGACTTAAATCTTAACTGTTTGTGAGTTGAATAGCCGCACGTTGGCGGGTAGATATTCCTTTGGAAAGCCTATGCGTTTATTTGCGTTATCTATGGTAGGAAATCTCCCTTTGGCTGCGAATACTATATATTTAATAATAGTTGCAAGCATATTTAAAAAACATGGGACATTTACTGAAGACTGATAAAGCCTATCTGTCTGTTATCCCGCCGCAGCTTAATGAGAGGGAGTGTATATATGCTGTGACCAATTCGGTGAAGTACTTAAGGATGTGTTCTTGCATTTGGTAAATATCAAATTTGTTTGACACTGTGATAAAGGTTTGAATTAGTTTACGCCATGTGCTAAAAATCATCTTTCTATTGAAAACTACATCGGGGTCGACTTCATCGTACCAATCCATTCAGTGTGGTGTGTAAACCGAATGCAGCAGAAGGGAATGGAATTTACTTTGATTTTCAAAAACAGTGTCGCAGAAGCTATCCACTTTCGCAAAAGATAGTAGCAAGTTGCGAGGATGGTCATCTAAAATCATTTACTTGCGAAGCGCTGCTTGGAGCCCAAGTAATGCTAATTCCATCATTTTCATCAGCCAAAAGTTGTAAAGATCTTAATTGGATTTCACTCAATCCGTTGCTTTATTATCCTATCATAAAAAACACACCTCTATATGGGGGTTTTAAATGTTAGGTATCCATCATTAACTCTCCACAGGTGTACATTTTAACGAAACTGTTCCTGGTACTTTAATAAGCTCAGGTGACTAAATAAGCTTGCACAACTTTTGTTATAGCTCACTGTAATGAGTTATTCCAATTAGTGGGACTTTGTAAAATACATGACACTGTTTACGTACCTGCTTTATAAAGTCTAGGCCTGCATCATTCTGTCATCGGTACTGCCTAGTGTGCTCCCCACCACTTTCATCCAGCTTGAGATTCTCATTTCATAAAATATCGGTTGAAGCCACAGAAGGTGATTCCAGTTTCTTTTGATGCGGAAGCTAATTTCTCTTTGATTTATAGTATAGCATGTAGAGAACGTTTAGTACGCCATGTTGAGCCAGCACAACTTACTATTCAAATATGATTGAAATGAATGACGCGATTCTGGTGATACTGCGAATGCCTCCAACCTCGAAAAAGCGTTCATGTTTGATTTTTCAGGCGTTTTAATTCGTTTGGCCAGTCTTCTCACGCTCTAAATATTATGCTCCAGTTTAAACTCTCCTAATCGGCTAAGACCACGTGTGGATCCACTTTAAGTGGGATAATATTTGCTCCAGGTTCAAGATTAATCATGTATCATAAATACACATAACTGCCTGACTTGGACAGTCAGCGCTAGCTAGTCTCTGCATCCGTACCAATTCACCGTGCTCCTCTGTACTTGCTGATATACTTCAGCAGTGAAGTTACCCGCACTAAAGTCTGTATTGTTGATAATTTGGTTGAGATCTCACAGGATCCAGGTCACGTATATAAACCTCTGTTCATAACAGATGAAGAATCACTTAAGGTTTGGATCATCACGCTTAGGAAAATTGAATTCTTAATTAGGATAGAAGGTACCTTGTCGGTATTGGCCGGATGTTTCAGCCATGAGTGGTGAAACAGCTGGTTTACACTTACATGAGCTGTGAAGAGAAGGTCGTGAAAGCGAGGCTAATGAGTCCCACTTGCAGCTGACAGGAGAGGAGATTGAAAGAAAATGTTTAAAATTCTCCACTCCTCTCCAAGCGCACAGTAAAAACGAACTGCATATTTTTGAATTGTTTGCTAGCCGACGGACTTGTGCTTGAAAATGCCTTTTATACCCTAACGTTGGTTAAAAAAGTAACGTAACGTTGGCTGTCTCAAACAGTTCATCCTCCATCCCAGTACTTCTAAGGTGGTCACCACTTCATCAAAGCAAGATTATTCTTGATATGTTTCTAAGTATGCATGTCTGCGTGGTCAACCGTAGATGCATTTGCTCGTTTTGAAGTGTTGAGTTACTGCAGGCGAAACAACAATCACGGCTCCGAGCTATTTACTTAATGCAAGAGAAACTTCTGCGTGAAGAGCAAGCAGGACTGGCCAATTAATGGGAAAAGTTTAATTCTCCTTACAAGACTAGATCAGAAAGGCCTCATACCTTATGTCGTCTCAAAATCTAGCCTAGGAATGCTTGGATTTTGGAAGAGGAGGGAGGAAGATGCTGCTCCATCTTCGTGCTCTGTATTTCCACACTATTTTTTCTCCAAACAATGATTGTCGTCCCTTAGCTCTAGCGTTATACAGTTACGTGATCACATGCAAAATGGAGTGTATAACCGGATGCTAAAAGCGTGATTGAAGCGGCACTGGCTAAGTCCAAATTTTTTTTGTTCCCAGAGTGAGTACATTCTATGAAATTGTAAGCCATAGTTAGATTGTGCCTCGTTGAGAATAAGTTATTTCTGCAGTAGATATTTTAATTACCAAACGCTTACAAATTTATTTGAAAACCTTATAACTTACCTGCGAATGTCGTGCGTGGACATCGTTAACTAGTTCACTTTCTATGTGAATAACCAATGTAGGACCTGTTAGGGGTAGGATTTCGATGATACTTGAAAGCGCTGGTGAATTGCATTGTTAAAGTTAGATTCTCGTTTCTACGAATTCGTCAGAAAGCATCTGGGATATCTATATTTTTGCTTATATGAAGCAGCCACATTTCCTTAGATTCCGTGCTGCATGATGCATCGTCTAAGTGTCAAATTACTCATCGTCAAGGAAATAAGAATCGCTTGTGTTTTGTTAAAATTAATCCCTGATTCGGACAATAACCGAAACTAACTTCTTACATTTTTATTCAAATTTGACTTTTCCCTTATTTCGTTGTGGGTTATCATGTACCTTATAAAAGAGGAATTTGTATGGTCAAAGTAATGTTTTGTTAGCGTTTGACTTTCCACTCAAAAAGGTTGCTATGTTTATTTGAAGTCTCTTTAGGAGCACTTGGGTTTAGGCCTCATTTGTTTATTTTTACTCTCCTTTTCATCCGCATTTTACAGCTTCCTGAAGGTGAGCCCAAAGGTTTGCTGGTGTGCGTTCACTGTTCCAGTGTGTGGGCCGAGTTTCTCACAATCTGCGAGGCAGCCAGACGCCATCCTACTGCAAACCTATCCTTCAAGACCTACCGTCAGTCCTTCCTCGATCCGTCCCCCTTCACTTGTTGGGCCCTAATCCCCTCTTGGCCGCTCTGGTACCGCCCTCCATCAACACCTCGCTACCCAGTCACTTGGAGTCCCGGTCTGAGCCGTAGTTTGACCTCTCCACCCTCCCACCCCGCTCCCATCAATGTTGTCATTGATCTCGACTCCTCAGTCAATCCCCTCGCCGTTTATGCCAACAGCAGTACATCGGTCCGCTCTGCCAGCAAACCAAAATCTCTTCACTTCACTATCGGTCATTCCGGTGCTGTGTTTACCTTCTGTTCGGTGGAACATCTTCGTTTGCCCGATGCAGTGGATCACCTGGTATTCCTCTACGGTCTTTTCTTCCGACTGGTTCGTCTCAAGGCCAGCATTGGGCTGGATTATATGGACAACATGACACGACAGCAGGCGAATGAGAATGTGAAGCGGTTCCACGAGTGGGTTCTGACTGCCAAGTGCCTATTGACTCATGGAGTGAAAGTGGAAATTGCCAGTACTGTTGAGTCGAGATTTATCGATCCTCCTGCGGGATATGATAGGGGTGAGAGGGCCTTCGGCTCCTCGCTTTCATTGGAGTCCTCAGTGAAGACGGACTCGGTGCAAGCTGTGAAGCTTTCAGGAACGGAGGAATGTTTGAACCGGGTTTCGGAATTTGGTGGTGGAAGTAAGAATTTCTTAACTTCCGAACGGATTACCGCCCTCGAACACGTGGCACAGACAGATCATTTTCTGAAAAATGAGGAATCAAAGAATTTGGAAAAAACTCCTGGTCTGCACAGTGTTTCTTCCTTGGTATCTTTGGACAGTGATGTAAGTACTTACTGTTTTAGGTTCCAGATTCGTAATAATTTTTTTAGATAGCTGTCAAAAAAATGGTTTGGTATTTTTCCCATTCACAACACGTACTTCACATATGGCTCAAGTTTATCCCTCAGGTCACATATGGCGTTAAGATGTGATGGATTAAAATCATCCCAGCAAGTGTTGATCACGTCTCGAAACCCCTGCCATTGTTAATTATGATTACTCTGGTAGGATATTCAGTACTGAGGGATACTTTCAATGGACGTAGTCGTCAACAGTCTGACGTGTGGTTGTGTTTCACGCTGCCAGGCAAATCCAAGTGATCTGTGCTTATAACAACTTAACAGTCTTGAGCTTCGATAGTATATCGAGCTTCGTAGTGCCTACCATTTTACTATAGACACCCGACAGTTTCATTACTTGCATAATGCTATGCTATTACGCCTTTTTAATCGAATGGAATCGAGAAAAGGGATAATTGAATGCATTCATGGAAATAGTTCATTTCTGATCTTCCAAACTGGATAGGACTGAAGCAAATGTTATGCCGTTTGAAGGGGTAGGAATATCGTATGATGGATACAAATGAGTATTTCTCATATTTAAATTGTTTAATTGTTGCCATTTCGCTCCCAAGGGTTACACTCTCGACGACTCAAACACCATCGCCCACTCCGATTCCTTTGAGATCCCCCTACTTGACGACGAAGCATTTAATGAAGTGTCTACCAGCTCATTCGATGAAATTGTCCCCGAGGAAGTGGGCATTGATGTGGCAAACAGTGAGGAAGTAGAGGAGCGCTCCAACACCATCATGGATGAGGAGCAGGGTGTTAATTTCCCCCCTTGGAAGGTGCAACGCCTCATGCTGGATTTTAACAGTCTGTCTGTCGACGCTGGTGAGTTATGCACCAACTTCTAGTTGCGAAGATATATTGGGTCTCAACATTGTTCGTTCGAAATATGGCACCTTTAGCAGCAAAATTTTTACGTTGTTATTATCACTAATTTGATTGGAACTACACCTCTCTTGTTCAAACAGTGACGTAGAGATCTGTTTTGACACTGAATCTTCGTGATTATCAAAACTTAGATTTGGTGTCAAAGGTAACTCAACAACCTTTATCCGACTTAACGATCTTTTAGTGGCGGCGTAGGATATGCAATTAAGCCAACTTCGACGGAGAATATTGTCATTCGTGCGTATGGAAGGAAACCAAATAAGCTCGTGAGATTATTATAATAAACGAAAAGTAACTGCAAAAGATTCCCGAAACATCTCATTCTCTAAATAAATCCCCACCGCAATCCCTACCCTCTTTCACACCGAGACACAAGTCTGCTGCGAGTTGCACTTTTACAACAAGTTCAGCAGTTAGAAGTGAAGAGGAGATGAGTTCCAACCACACTTGCC